AACATTTTAAAAGAGGGGTCTCTATTGGATAGTATCAAGCGATTAGGTAGAATGGAAATTAATTCAAAACTATTTACAAAAAGGAATGGAGAAAATGAAGATTAATTACAGAGGGATCAGACCTAAAGATAGAGGCTAAAGAAAAAAATGACCACAAGGTGGAGCTAGAGGATAAATACAGGATAGACTATTTTGAGTTTTTTCTTGTTTTGGGTTTTGTTGTTTTTTTTTTTTTTTAGAATTTATTTTGAAATGTATATTCATCCAATCAGGATAATCAAATATCCTGATTAAAATAAAGGCTATGCAGACAGATTGATTACCTTAAATCTCAGATCAACATTTACTTGTCCGGTGAAATGAACACAACCAGGGCCTGCCCCAAGCTTTGCCAGTAAAGATCTATCATTCGAGTTTTTTCATAGTACGTATCATGATCTGAAATTACTTTGCTTTTTTCTTTCTTTGCTCTCTATGTTCACACCTTTCACTAGAATATAACCTTAATAAGAGCAAAACTTTTGGGTACCTGGGTGGCTCAGTTGGTTAAGCGACTGCTTTCGGCTCAGGTCATGATCGCTGAGTCCCAGAATCGAGTCCCGCGTTGGGCTCCCCCTCATGTTCTCTCTCGGTCTCTCAAATAAATAAATAAATCTTTAAAAAAAAAAAAAAAGAGCAAAACTTTTGTGTGTTTTTTTCACCATATTATCCCAAAAATAGAATAGTGCTTGAGACACATAAAGTGATCAGTAGATGTTCAAATAATGGATTAATTAATGGTCCCTGCAATGTACGTTTTATAGTGATTTTAACAGGATACTTTATATCCCAAAATATTGTAACATGAATCTTCAGTTCAAACGTGCTTGATCACTTTGTTTTCCTTGATCATATCATACTCATTCATACTTCCATAGCTTTGTTTAGATGTTTGCCCTGCCTGATAAAAAAGTATTCCTTTCCTCTCTCTTCTTCTGTAATCTTTGCCTTTCCTTCAAATCATAACTCAAGGTTTATATATTCCGTTTGATATTATTTAACTTTACAGATATTTTGTATACATGTGCATGATAAACTTATCAGTGTGGTAGATGCTGTCTGACATATTTTCCCCTTTATTTTCTCTACTCTGTAACAAAACGCTCTGCCACAGTTGTTGTCTGATAGTTAGTCATTGTTTAGCTCATTAACTTTTAATAAAACATGCCACTTTTCAGTCCATATGTTTAAGCTTTCTGGAAGTGAAAGAGAAAATATTAATTATGCTTTTTTTCATGACAGGAAATTCTAGCTTTTTCCAAAGATAAACAGTATTTGGTATGTGTGTAGAAGGCTAGTAAGTCAGAGGTGAACCAACAATATTAATGCAGAGGACTGAGAGGGAACAGGATATCACTGATAAATGCACCGAAGGGTTAGCATAAAGGTGATGTGCCTTAAAAAGTCTGAGACTCTTAACTATAGGAAACAAACTGAGGGTTGCTGGATGGAGATAGGTTGGGGGGGATGGGGTAACTGGGTGATGGACATTAAGGAGGGCACTTGACATAATGAGCACTGGGTGTTATATGCAACTAATGAATCACTGAATCCTACCTCTGAAACTAAAAAAAAAAGTCTGTAAAAAGATACCACGAGCTGCAAAATTCTCCCTTTCTTTATATATTTTTTTCAGTTTAGATACATTACTATAGCATTCATAATAGTCAACATCATTTTCCTTTGGTCTTTCTCTTTTACACATCCACTAGCCCTCATTATATATTGAACAGTCTTATCCACAATGTTATGAATTCCACTGATTTCTTATTGAATCTATACCTTGTTGTGAGTCTAGTGTCTTTTATTCATTCTTCAGCTATAAACATGTCAGGACAATCCTCAAATTTGAAAGACTTTATAACATAGTGGAAAAACTTGGAAACTAGGTAGATGGTACTGCTTTCTACAAGCAGTATGATCATAGAAATGTCTCCACATTCTTTAACCTTCCCTTTCTACATGTGTAATATAAGGATGAGACTGCTGTTTGGATATATATTCATTCATTCACCAAATATCTACTGGATGGTAACTGTATGTCAGTCACTATTTTAGACCATGCTTTAAAATTAAAGAGATAGCTTATGTAAAAGTGCCTCTTAATCTCTAAAATATTAAACAAAGATTTTTATTCCAAATTCAAACTCATCAGAATATTTCCAATAAAGGACTTTTTCTGTTATACTTTACTAAGCCAAGAAAAGAGGGGCAATAAAATATACAAACATATCAGTGACAGACCTTGTAGGGTGATTAAGAGAAATCTAACAAAGGGGCACCTAGCTGGCTCAGTTGGTAGAACATGTAACTCTTGATCTTGGGGTTGTAAGTTTGAGCCCCACATTGCGGGTAGAGCTTTCTTTAAAAAAAAAAAAAAAGCGGTATCTAGCAAAGCCTTTGGATTTTGGAAAAGGAAAAAGAAAAGTTTTTAATCTCTATCTCTTTTTCCTGCAGTTCTCTGCTTAATTTTTGCTGAGTAACTCAGCTTGTATTTATAGCGTATTTAGAGGAAGAAAACAGAATGAAGACTAATGTTATCAGGGGCTCCTTTGACCCTGAGAGACTCTGTACTCACCCAGCATATTTCCTAACAAACCATGTTGGGGGGTTACAAATAAAGGCAAATATATTTTTATGGACCATAGATCCGGACATAAGACCCTCAGCCTGCGGCTAGTGTTATCAAAGATCCAAAAACCATGCCTTGCTGAAATAATACGGAGTTAGTGATTACTGTCTTTCAGTAACGTTTTCACTTTAAAGTGAACTTCCAGGAAGGGAAAAATCTTAATTAAGTGAAATTGTATAATTTCAAGTATGGTGGTGCTTCAATGAAGAGCTATTTGTGGAAGGGACAGAAGATATCTTCTGTTATTCTGTTATCCAGAAGATAACAGAAAGGAAGGACAAATGATGCATTGCAATCATTAAAAGGAAAAAAACAAAAGAAAGTCCACAGGCTGAGCTATAGGTAGGAATGGAATATCACCTGAGGCTTAGGTTTCAGCTTTACCTATATCTGGTGTTAAACATACAGTTTTAAACATTCATGAATCAAGTAAGCCCAGCATATTCCTGGCGATTTGCAAGAAGAATAAATGGGATATTTTTATAACTCAACCAATTGCCCAAGACCTAGAGAATGTGAAAACCACAACAAAGCAAGCTAACTGTTATGTTTCATAACTCCTGAAAGTTTCTGCTAATTGAACATGAAAATGTTTATAATAATTATGAAGGCTTCCAAATGTTCATGGATCTTGCATTTACATATTTGATTTAATTTAACCATAAATTTTCAGAAGTTACATGTTTGATTACTAAGAGAACAGAGTAAAAGGTTTATTGAAAAAATGTCATTTAAATTGACCTTCCATCCTTGTTTTGTTTATTCTTTACCTCACTTTTAAAATTATTTGAGGAGTGTAGGGCAAGAAATTTTAAGATGAAAGATTATTTTAAGGAAACTGACAAAGAATTCAGAGTGAAGAAGATAACAGAAAGGAAGGACAAATATATACCAGATATACCAAAGGGAACATTAGTAAACAAAATACCTACCATGAGATCTTATATAATTACTATATTGAAAAGTAATGTCTAACACACTACTAACTAAAGAAAAAATAAAATAAGATTATTTATAAGATAAATGTCTAGAATTAGGCACTTAGAAGAAGGGAAGCTTTTCTGGCTGTAAAGGTTTAAAAATATATATATATATATCTGGGGGTGTCTGGGTTGGCTCAGTCGTTAAGCGTCTGCCTTCAGCTCAGGTCATGATCCCAGGGTCCTGGGATCGAGTCCCGCATCAGGCTCCCTGCTCCGCGGGAAGCCTGCTTCTCCCTCTCTCACTCCCCCTGCTTGTGTTCCCTCTCTCGCTGTGTCTCTCTCTGTCAAATAAATAAAATCTTAAATATATATATATATATCTGCTATAAAACTATATAAAAGCTATCCTAATGACAAAATAGACAGCACCCTCACTAACATCCTTACATTAGTACAGCAGCTAGCCTTCTCTAGCTACTCTAACTCCTTTCAATGTGAGCTACAATAACAATTTGAAAACCCATTTTATAGTTAAATGTGTGGAATACGTATTACTCTCTGATGTGAAGGGCACTAGGAACCTGTCCCTTCCACAAATAGCTCTTCACTGAAGCACCACCATGCTTGAAATTACACAATTTCACTTAATTAAGATTTTTCCCTTCCTGGAAGTTCACTTTAAAGTGAAAACATTACTGAAAGACAATAATCACTAACTCTGTATTATTTCATTTTATATGATTGTTTTTTCTTTAATGCCTAAACCTAAGCAATATTAAGCCTGCCTCTTGTGGAGTCCTCAAATTTTTGAAAAATATGATTTGTGAATGATGCAAAAATTTGGATGGATTCTAGGTCATAATTAGGAATGGCGCCTTCGAACACAAGACCCTGAAACATCTACTTTAGCTCCTATTAGATCGAATTATATTAGACTTGCTCCTCACAATGGAATAGACTATGTATCTGCTCCTGTTTTATCCACGAATCTTCATCAGAGAGCAGTTCATTTAAACAATACAATTTAGACTCCACTAAGGTTAAGATGAAGCATGAACTTTTGTTCTTTGAAAGGATATAATAAGGAGACATTCCTTCATTCAGAGTTGAAGATAAGAAAACAGGAAACAAATGTGATATCTACTCCTTTACTGCAAGTTATTATTTTTATATTTTTATGTTCAAGGTCCATGTATTTCTGAACAGCTATGAAAGGGCTTCCTGGAAGAAAAAAAATTCAAAACACAGAAACAGAACAAAACAAAAAACATGTGCCCCAACACATATGGCTCCACCTTACCAGAGAGGGGAGGATCACGGACTGGCAAGCACTGAAATCTATGCGTGGTCATGACAATTCTCCTAAGTCATTGAACCCTGAGCTCACTTGCAGTCCGAGGGAAGCCATGCTGGACGAAGATGGATACATCACCTTAAATATTAAAAATCGAAAGCCAGCTCTCACCTCAGGTAAGAATACCCAGAGCCAGGGATTTGGAAGTTAATTATTGAAATAGGTCAAACCTACTTTCCTTTCTCTACTAGTGGCAGCACATATAGTTTTATTTTATTTTCCTGATGATCTTCCTGCTCTACAGAATTCGAGTAACATCTACTTAGGCTCAGACAGACTTATTTAGAATATAAGCAACAAAAGATAAAAGCAGGAACATTATAATAAGACTTATAATGAGGAAAAAATAATAATGCAGGATGGAATAGAAACCAAGAGAATAAGAGGAAAGAATGTTTTATAACCTCATTTTCTAAGCTGTCAGCAAATGGGTGTGATTCTTCAGTTGTTGCATATAAAAGCAATTATTTATGGGGGTGGGCACAAAACAAAACAAAGACACACAAAACCTTTACAGTTATATTTTGACTCAGAGAAAAGTCCATTGGAAAAGGGTTGTACATGCTATTGGGAATGGGAGTGGGTTGTACTTGCTATTGATGATCACCAAAGAAACACCAGCAAGATCTGGCAATGAAGTTGTTTATAACACTCAGAAAGTCTTGAGAGGGCAGGGGGCAGGGGTGATGCTGCCCCATAGCTATGCCATACAGCCTGCCCCCTAACATCTGTATTCTATGTCTACAGTTGACCCTTCTTCCTCACCTCTGTGGCGTGTGATGGCTTTGATTCTGCTGATCTTGTGCATGGGGTTAGTTGTTGGGCTGGTGGCTCTGGGGATAATGTGTAAGTATTGACTCACTGCAAAAGATTTGTTCTGAGGAAAGCAATACCTAAGGGTCCTGGTGTAGGCCACTAGGCTTGATTGTCACTATGTGTCTCTTTGTTGCTACTTCAATCATTTTATACATGGCTGCCAATACATTCTCAATAAAGGAGAACTCTGACTTTTCCGTTCTAATTCAAATCACTTTAATTAAAATTATTTTCAAGTTTTTAAACTCATCTTTAAGATCTCCTAAGGTCTAGATCCACACTATCTTTTCATTTTTTTTCTCCCTATCCTGCATATCTTCAGGTCCAGCCAACATTGACTTTTCACAGTTTCACAAATAAATCCTCTTTCCCTGCCTGAAATTCCTCTCCATTGTATTACCTCTTCCTAAAGCGCCCTCTTTCCCACTTTGTTTAATGAATGCATTTACTTTCACTCAGAAGCAATTCATATCCCACCTAATTTATATATTTTTTCTTTTTATAAATCTAAAAGCCCTCCAATGTCATATTACCCCATGTAGCTGTTGCTTGTTTGTGTGCTTGTTTATTTGTTAGAATGTTTTAAAAAGTTCACCATCTTTTATTCAGCTGAATATCGTATTTTGAGCACAACAAGAAATCAATATATATTTTTTAAATAAATGGATATTTTGATATTACATCAAAAACAAAATAACAGAGGTCATTCACCTCTGAAATCTGCTTAGAAATCTGTATTCAAAGAAATATCAAAACATTCGTTTTGAACACGCAATTTGATCATGGCATTTTCTTATTTGTGATTGTCTCCTTCATATAGTTCACTTCTTCTTTTGGATAACCATCAGGTGTCAGTTTTGCATAGTTCTTAATTTGTTCTTTATACACCCCTTTACCCAGACCCCTTTGCAGTACTCATTTACTCATGTGTATCTAGTAAAGACTTCACAGATTGACAATTCTACTGAAATTAAAGTTCATCGAAAGGTCTCTGCATCACCCTTATGATCCTGATTACAAATTGTTATCTAATTTTTACATCTAGCCGTCACAGAGCAAAATTACCAAGTGGAGAATAATAATGTCTCAGGAACTCTGCACCAAGTAGCAAAGAAGTTCTGCCAGTATTTAATAAAACAATTGGAACAAAAGAGCAGTGTCAGTAAGTATGGTTTTGTAACCTCTTCATCTCCCCTCCCCCTGGAGTATTTCTGTGATGTTATCTGTAGGGAATCTGGAGATCTGCAGAAAACACTGAATATGGGGGAAAAGCAAAAGTAAAAAGTATGGATTCCTATGCTTGGTTTCACCTTAAGGCCATAAATGCAGCCCATGTGACAGAAACTGGAGATATTATGAAGATAGCTGCTACGGATTCTTCAGGCGCAACTTGACATGGGAAGAGAGTAAGCAGTTCTGTATTAACATGAACGCTACTTTGCTGAAGATTGCCAGCCAGAACGTTCTGGTAAGGAGATTCCTATGTCAAATATTTTGGAGTCATAAGAAGAATCTTAAGTGAAACATTTGACTTTAAAATCTATATCTATATTTCTCACGTCTTCCAGTCTGTGCTGATCTTAGAACCTTATCGAGCCCAGTAGAAATTACCACATTTGAGAATTTCTTAGAAAGGGGTAAAATGAGCTAATGAGACTGACCTCTGTGACAAGTCATTTCACTTTTCTCAGCTTCCTTGGTTGCATTTACTAATCCATAAAAGAATCTGAAAGTATAAAGAAACTCAATATCATTGTAAAATACAAAAAGCAGTGCCATCCCAATATTACATGAATCCTCAAGTTCCTGCTAAATTGTTGAACGATTGAACTTGAACAAACCATGCAGACTTTACCTTTTCATAGGCTCTTCCATAGTTTTGGGAACAACCTCATTTGTGAAACACACAGGATTTCAGTTGAAATTTTTTTACTAAACGTCTCCTCTTCCACAATTTTCTCTTTGACAGCTTCTAACAAAGGCTTTATTTTGAAGCAAAATATGTTCACATCCACTCATGCACTCTCCCTTTATTATTTAATGTAGCTTTTCTCTCTTTTTTTGTGAATCCTGGGAGCAAACCAGAAATCAAGCTTTGGAGTCTCCCTTCTGCCAAATGATAGATTTATTAAGATATTTTTTGAAAGGCAGAAATTCTCTATGGTGTTTAACCTACAATTTCCAATATGGTAATGATTCACATTCTGTATATTAAAAATGAAAGCAAGGGGAGCCTGGGTGGCTCAGTCATTAAGCGTCTGCCTTCAGCTCAGGTCATGATCCCAGGGTCCTGGGATCGAGCCCCGCATCCAGCTCCCTGCTCAGCAGGAAGCCTGCTTCTCCCTCTCCCACTCCCCCTGCTTGTGTTACCTTTCTCACTGTGTCTCTCTCTGTCAAATAAATAAATAAAATATTTTTTAAAAAAATTAAAAAAAAAGCAAATAGGAGATCTGGATTTGGGCTTGTGCAGAGATTAAACTGAACTCAAATAGTCAAGCCAGTCAGATTCTACAGAACTGCTATAACTGATCAGCAAAATTGACTTATATTTTCCTGACCTGAAGTCCACAGTAATGGGCCAGACATGAGGAGATCATTCCAGTGACACTCAAGGTCATTTGTTGCCTTGTTACTATCCTCTTAACTCTCTTTGTGGACTCAAACTAATAGAGAAGATATTCAGGTAAGTAAATTATCTTTCTTTCCAATCAGGCAAAATAAGAGAGTGTCCTAAAATCTCAACTTCAATAACAAGAGATTAATTGGAGACATACAACATGTCTTGAATCTTGCACTGATGCCAGGTTGAAGGTTTATAAATGAAAGAAATAATGTCATTTTTGAGAAACAAAGAATAGTTGAATTTCAGACAGAATATATTTCATATAGTGAGGTATATAATGTAGATGTATTTTAAAGAATAGAACAGGAGTTAACAGAAAGGTGAGGGATAGCTCAAGCTTTAAAAAATAAGCAGTCAGGGTGCTTGGGTGGCTCAGTCAGTTAAGCATCTGACTCTTGGTTTCGGCTCAGGTTGTGATCTCAGGGTCTTGGGATTGAGCCCCATGTTGGGCTCCATGCTCAGAGGGGAGTCTTCTTCTTCTTTTTTTTTTTTAAAGATTTTATTTATTTATTTGACAGGGAGAGACACAGTGAGAGAGGGAACACAAGCAGGGGGAGTGGGAAAGGGCGAAGCAGGCTTCCCGCCGAGCAGGGAGCCCGATGCGGGGCTCGATCCCCAGACCCTGGGATCATGACCTGAGCTGAAGGCAGACGCTTAATGACTGAGCCACCCAGGCGCCCCTCAGATAGGAGTCTTCTTGAGATTCTTTCCCTCTGCCCCGCACATCACCCCCCACCACGCACATGCTCTCTCTCTCAATCTAAAATAGATAAATCTTTAAAAATATCGGTTAAGTGTCTGCTTTTAGCTCAGGTCATGACCCCAGTGTCCTGGAGTTGAGCTCCATGTCAGGCTCCCAGCTCAGTGAGGAGTCGGCTTCTCCCTCTTCCTGTGCCCCTCCCCCCTGCTCATGCTCTGTCTCGTTCTCTCTGTCATATAAATAAATAAAATCTTTAAAAAATAACAAATAAATAAGCAATCAAAAGTGACTTTCATACAGTATCTATTATGGAATGCCATTCTGTGTCTCACTTCTGTTAAGAAGCTTGAGTCATTTCTTATTTGCTAAGAATGCATTCTCACCTACCTCTTTTTCTGGGAGGTATGAGAGTATATGAATATTTGACTCTTTAATTTTGTTACCCATGGATTGACTGATTGACTGATTGACTTTTCCATTAATTTGACAAATATGCACTGGAACTATTTCAGAATCTGAACCCATGAAGTTAATAAAACAGAAGTCTCTAACCTCAGGGAGCTTATGTTCTCGTTGGAGCAAGAGGCAATAAACAAAACAAATAAATACAGTGTATCATATAGTAAATAGTGACAATTCCTAAGTAGAAAAAGGCAAATTAGAAAAAACAAATGCTGTTTGTAATCCGTTTGAGAAAGACATCATATAATTCCTTTTACTCAGTCAACTAAAACAAATTAATACTTCCAATGTAAACATTGTAGGCTACTACAAAACTAGCTAAGCAATGAAACCAAAGCAAGTAGAAGTTAAATGTAGGGAATAAAAACGTTTCACCAACAATATATTTCTTTTTTTTTAATTTTCCTTCTCTAGTTGTTTACCATTATCTTATTTAAGAGCCATATTTGGTACTCTATTTGAAACTCTAGTCTTTAATCGATGGAAGATAAACGTGTAGAAAGGTTAGAATATCCTCCTTCTGTGAACATTTTTTCCTGTATTCTACAAGCAATTTGTTTTATTCTAAAACAAGTGAACTTGGCACAATTCTAAATATCAAATATGATTAGTTAACATTAATGTAGACATACAATCTAACTTGTTGTTTTTGTTGTTCAGGGTCTTATCATGAAACTTTGTCTTTACATCATTACGAGAATTGTGGAAGCAGGTTGACCATTATATTTATCTGTGTTTGCAATAGGAATACATGAAGTCCAGGACTGGATTAATTCGTTGGGTTGGATTGTCCCGCAAGAACCCTGATGAAGTCTGGATGTGGGAAGATGGCTCTGTGCCCTCCAAAAATGTGTAAGTCACTGGACATTCAGAATACAAGTCACAGCGAGCAAATTTTATTCTTGAGATCCTCTACCCTCTTGAAGGCACACTACTTAAAAGTTGGGAGGTGGCTCTATGACCTACTGTGTGCTATAGAAACAGCAGCACACTCACTGACACCCTACTCCTAATAAGTGAACACTGGTAATAAGACAATTCTACTTTACTTACTTTCCCATTCCTCTGCTCTTTATCTAAGTCACAATCCACCTCTATTCCTGATATTTTTCCGCATTCATTTCTACCCTCAAATTTACCATTAGAACGTGTGTGTGTGTGTGGGTGTGCATGTGTGCGTGCGTGTGTTGCTTGATCTGATTCTCTTCACATATTTCTAGAACAAAATGATCGTTCTTGTTATTTTATGGTTGAAAGTGATTACTTTGAGGATTCTTTTGGCTTTTCAGTATCATTTTCCCTACTCTTCTTCCCTAGGGGTCTCCAAGAATCAGGCATACCATCATTCACAAGGTGTTTCTAATGTTCATATCATAAGGCTCCATCCTTGTACAGACAATCCAGGCAAAGGAGGCATTTATTTAATGTGGCTTTCCAATCTCCAATCTCAAGACCTTTGCTCATCTTGTATATCAAAACTGTAAGGTCTCTCCAGTTAAAATTAAAACTGATAACCACAACCTGTACAACCTGATCATCACTTAACATTTCAATTCATTTATTCAACAGATACTAAGTATTTACTATGGGTAGGAGCAAAGGATACTGCACATACAAGCCGACTTCTTCATAGATCTTGAGCTTTCTCTCCTATCATTTGCTGCCTCATTCACAATATTGCAGGCAAACTGGTGAACCCTCTGTTCTTTCAACAAATTAAACTTGTTTTGTTGTCTTAGGACTTTTGTACTTAACTGTTTTCTTCTAGATTGTTCCACTTCCAGAACTCCATGATGGGCTCCCCCTTGTGACTCATGTGTCTTTTAAACATCCCTTCCTCAATGAGGTCGACTTTAATTACCCAAACTAAATTAGCCTCCTTCCACACACACCCACTCGAGTCCATTATCACACCATTTCATTTCTTTGTAACTCTTACCACTCTCTGAAATTTTCTATTTGTTGGCTTCTTACCAATATCCTCTTACTATAATGTAAGTTCCCCAGTAGAAGAGACCGTGACCCTGTTTACTCTATCAATATCGGCACACAAAACAAATTTGGCACATAGTAGGTATCCCATAGATATTTGGCGAATAAATTAGATCTACACATTTGTTGTTCTCTTGTCATAAGCAATGCAGCGGGGAATATAGACAAGTTAACAGGCAATTACAATAGAGTGTGCTGCCTTATTTCTGCTACCCTACAACATAAATCCTCATTTCAAAAATATTTAATCAACTTTCTTTTCCTTGAGCTCCTTCCCACTCTGTACAGCCACTTGCCCTACAGGGCTCTCCCATCTCCTCTCTGTTTATCTAAATCCTACCCTTCTTTCAAGACAGAACTAAAGTGTGATCTTCTATGAAAAGATAAAGGCTTTCCCATCATTTTCAGATCCCATCCATCTCTTTCTCTGGGCTCTTATTGTGCTCCTGCTCACTTGTTGCTTTATCAATGCTGTACTAAATTGCTATTGAGTTACTCAGCTGTACATACTTAATACTCCCAAGTAGATGGAAAATTTCTCAATGATCTGAATGTTGTTTTTTACTTTTATCCCCATACTTTTTGTTTCCATTTTGTGAGACAAAATACTTTCATGCAGAGTTTGTTGACTGCTTATATAGCTTTTGAAGGAACTCATTCTACCTTTTCCTTTCACAGGTTTGAGCTTTCTGGAAATGAAAGAGAAAATATGAACTGTGCTTATTTTTATGATGGGAAAATCTACCCAACCTTCTGTAAGAACAAACATCATTTGACGTGTGAGAGGAAGGCAGGCATGGTGAATGTGGACACACTACTTTAATGCAAAGAGATGAGCAGGATGTCACAGACAAGTGCTTGATTATACAATGAAAGATCTGGATGAAGTACTCACTAGCCATAAAATTGCTTATTTTTCCCTTTATTCCCATTGGAGTCATCTTTACATCAACTTTTCTACAAATACCACCTCATCCTTTCTTTGTATATCCCTTTATACTAAGGGATGATTTCATCCCTTCTTTATACATCCAGAATCGTGTCTGTGAGTTGATCATTTGTTCTCAATTGCTCTGTTTCCATGGATTTTCTTTCTTGTTTTCATTCCTAATTATCTCAGCATGGTGTATGATTCACCACATCTTCGGACATAAACATATACACTTTAAATTGAAATAAGAAAGGTTAGGACTTAATTGACTCAAGTTGTGCAAAATATCTAGGTCTGAAAGACAGCATAAGGTAGCGGAAAGAATACTAAACTTGGAATCAGTAGAACAACCTAGATGGTGTGATTACTTAACGTACAACCATGGACCAGCTAGTCATGTAGCCTCTTTACCATTCATTTTCTCATATTTCAAATAGAATAACACCCATTACTTCACAGCTGTACAACCTAACAAAACATCGGAGTAGTAGCTATGTCAGAAATTCCGTAAAGGCCAACATCATGGCTTTCCCATTTGCTGTTGTATGCCTGGCACCAAGCATGGTTCCTGGCTCACTGGAAACAGAAAAAATAGTTGCTTTTCATTATGTGAGAAGCACCACAATCTGTAAAACACTACACAATCATAATTTGGATTCCAGGTCCACCTTTGGTCAGATTCTACAGCAAGGGCATTAAAGTTTCCTTCTGCGGAAGGAAAATGAAATTTCTGTGCAAGGAACTTGACAGTGTTTGAAAATAAGAAAATACTTAAGAAGGCCTATAGGCAAGTAGACAAAACAGCAAGTACAAATGTTTTATCTTTTCCTGACAGTTCTATGTTTGGTTTTTGCTGAGTAACTCAGGAAGTGTTTATGGATATGCGGCGAGGCAGCCTTTCACAGGATAACAGGCAAAAATTGCATTTCTTTCCCACAGCTTCCCTGAAGCTGCTTTTTCTTCTTACATTGGTAGTAATAAAATTTATGAATATGATTCTCAAACATCTCAACTGAGATGTTTGTTAAAACATGCAGATGCTCAAGAACAAATACTTAAGGTTCTCAGTTGGAAGGTTGAGGAGACACTGAGACCTGGGCTTTTAATAAGCTCTCCTACTTGATTCTGATCAAGTAGTTTTTAATACATTTTGAGAAAAATTACATTGAAACTTATTCCCTATGTGGCTTTTGCTAAGTTACTCTGTTTCCTCATTTATGAAATGGGCTTAATATAATTATTTTACTCATAGGTAATAGTGAGGATCATTTAATATAATATATAAAGCATTGAGCAGAGTATCAAGCATGTAATAAATACTCAATCAATATGTATTATTTTATACCTTTGAGCACTAATACTCAGACACTTGAATCATTGTCTTGTTTTAGACTATCAGTAAACAAGCAGATTTTGGGGGACTGAGGAAAAATAACACAGATACCTCAAATTCTGCTTCTACTTCAAATGTCTTGAGATCTTGACTTTTGGGGGATAGTATCATTATTTTATTGTTTTTTTACTTGTTGATTTAGAGAAATGGAATAGGAAATAATTCAGAAAATCATCCAAAAAACAACCAACTGTGTCTCTGGACTTTAGTGTTTTATTACCCACAAATGGAAAAACATATATTTATATATTATTATATGGCACAAGTAAATTTCAAAGAATATTATCTTAGTTTGTGACAAAAATGCAATTAAAAAATGTAAACCAACCAACTGTGCCTACAAAGATTCTTTTTTCTGGTACTCATATCAAAATCGTCTTACCCATGAAATCAGAATAGCACAGATTTTAATAGCACAGGCTCCGTGATCAGACCACCTAGTTTCAAATACTAACTCTTCCACTTACTACGCAAGTCAACTTCGGTAAATAATTTGACTTCTCTGTGCTTCAGTGTACAATTAAGTTACAATGTACTCATATCAGTGCTTATTTCACAGAGCTGTTTTGAGAATTAAAGTAATTCATGTAAAAGCCCTTTGAAACAGTACTTGGAATGTAATGAATAATAAGTAACATGTAGTATGATTTAAAACATCAAAAGCAAAGCAAGTAACATTAGTTCCGTATTGGAAGAGCCCAATGTTTCCCCCAAAGAAATTTATCAGAGAATATACCATATTAGAGAAAACTAGATCTTTCTGAGCTTGATATAAACTAGATCTTTCTGAGCTTGATATTTAGCACTGATAAAATTTGAGAGCACCTGGAAATTGATGACAACTCATTAAATTTCTGTTCCTGTGCTCCCAACATTAGTCTTAATGCATATTTGGTATGGTTATGGTTTCTTCCTCTTTTTCTCCTCAAGGTAGAAATCATTACATAATGAAGTCTGCAGAGAGTTAAGTCACTTTATTTTTCAGGTCACATGAAAATCATCTGAAATATTTGGAGAATTTGCTGGATATTCTCCATTTACCCCTTGAGATCCTCTCAACCCCACCCTGTGCCTTGTGAGGCAGAACTCAAATGAACAGCACTATTTGGGGCAATTTTCCTCTGGCTTCCAGTTAATTTAGCTATTGAGAAGTCCTTGCAGTAATCAAAGGGTGAAAGGCGAGAGTAGTCAGGGTACTCCTCATTCCCTTGGCTCTCTCCCTACCACGCCATGTTCGGCAAAGGCTGCATGTTCCCTACCTTAGGCCATGGCCCCTATCAGATACCCTCCTCAGGCGTAGGAGTGATAACATCGTGGCAACGCATAATTCACCACCTCTTTTTGTTCCAGTTAATCTTTCCCCAAACTTTACAAACAGTGTCTTTATTAAATGCCCTGAGATTACTCCTTGAGTATGTCATTTGTTTTCCTTTGCTATAGAGATCAATGATTGATCCAGGGAGATACTGAAACAAAAGAGAACATTGCAATTTTGCAGATTGTTGAGATTTGCAAACTATAAATTACCAAGACGTGACCTTTGGCCATAAGGACAAATGGCCAATATGTGAATGATGATTAAAATATCAAGTTTCTTAATGCTATAGTCACAGGATGTGACAGAAATGGCCATCTATCCACTAAATAATTTATGCTTCTCATTTAGAGTAAAGTTGTCATCAAAAGTTTGCTAGCCAGGCAAAAATTACATTTATCAGGCCCAGCCTTTTAGCTCCAAACAAGGGCATTACATTAGTGGATGTGGACATGATACATGTTACTTCTAGGTTATGGCTTTCAAGAGGCCGATGTGGATTTGCCATCTTCTCTTTTCCTTTCTAAGGGACTCCAATATCTCACAAGACAGAAGGAGCTTGGGTCCCATTTGGAGGAAATCTCTCCACTAACCAGGATTACTGGAGCTAAATTGTTATGTGAGCAAGAAATAATCTTTATTGCGTTAAACAGCTGGTTTTTTTTTTTTGAGACTTACTTGTCACAGAAACTACATTACCTTAACTAATACAGTGGGCAAATTTATTTTAGGGATGAAATCCCTTCCTAGAAGCTTTTTTGTTTAAGGATACACAGTGATCTACAGCTCCTTCACCGTGGCTTGTCTGATGTGAGCTAACATCAAGTCTTTGCTGTCTAAGTCGTCCACATGCTTCATGTCCGGTACCAAAATATAAGTGCATTGTTTGCACGCCTATTCTTTTTATCTTGATAATAACCCAGTGCTATCACCTTCAACATCTGCTGGACTTCAGAACCCAGAGCAATAACCTGTTCTACTTTAGGCCATTTCAAGTTCAGTTTCTTTTCTCATTTCCTTCTTTAACAAGTTGTACATTGGCTTAAACTTCATAAACTTCTACTTTCTAGATGAAGATACATCTACTGCATCCCTTAAACCCAAGCATAGTTTCCCACTGGTGTGAGAAGTAGCCAATTTCAGTTCTTTCACGAACGTGCTCCTACCACAAGAAGACATATTTGTCTTAGCTTCTCGGGTGGAGTGCCTTACCTATCAGAGCATCTCAGACATGCAGGAGGAAGAAACGTACACCTCTCTTCAGTGGGATGATCCAACACCAAGCCCTTACCAGAAACATCTGTCTTCCACCAAATATTCAGGTAACCAGTTCTGATTATTTAGTCCAAGACTTTGCAATTTATGCTTTGTTTCCGGTTCTATGATGAGCCCAAGGTGACTTTTCTAATGAGATAACCCACATATGGGTCTGATAATGTGCATTATATAATAACAAAGTGATGGGGAAGAGTAAGTAAAGGTGTCAAAGGGAAAGAGCAACGGATTTGACAAATATATAGTACCTTTTTTCCCCCTTTCTTGCTGGAAAGACAAAGAATTCCGGGATTTGGAAGATAAATGAAAGAAATCATATATTTTTTTATTATTTTAGTTCTTTCATAAAACTCCCTGAAAATTACCTGACAAACACTAGGAAATAAAGAGAAAACATAGGTTGAAAAATGGACAAAACTTGCCAGCCTGGAGCTGTGTGCTGTGGTGATCAGTTCTGGTATTCTTATTTAACATGTGTATTAGCCTCTTCTTATTATTTTTTTTTCTAAGTCATAGTCTTTTGAGATTTATTTGTTGTTTTTTGTTTTTAGCTTCTTATTATTTTGATAACAAATTTCCACAGACCAGGGGGGTTAATACAACACAAATTTATTATCTTACATTTCGAAAGATCAGAAGTCCAAAATAGGTTTCGCTGGGCAAGCTGTTGTCAGGGCTGCATTCCTTCTCGAGGCTCTAGCTAGGGAAGAATGCATTTGTTTGTGTTTCCCAGTTTCTGGGGCTGCACTTCTTGCTTCACTTGGGCTCTTGGCCCTTTCTTCCATCTTCAAAGCCAGCAGTGCTATGCCTTCAAATTTCTTCCTGCTTCCATCATCGTACAGCACCCTGACCACTGATCTCTCACTTATAAAGGCCCAGATAAAACAGGATTATGTCCCCAACCCAAGATCCTTAACTTAATTACAGTTTAAAGTCTCTTTTGTCACATAAGGTAATATTTACAAGTTCCAGGGAGTAGGACATGGGCGCTTGGGACAGGGGCATCATTCAGCCTACCACATAATCCAAAGGTAACTTTTATTTTTTTCTCTGATTAGTGTTAAAAATATAACAAATCACAAATTCTTCATTTTTTTTCCTGAATAGATGCAAAATAATCTGGAAAAAAAGTGTTCCTCATTCAAAATTGTATGTTTAAAGGAAATACGTCTGAACCAATCATGTTCAAGTGGTGCTGAAAAGAGATGAGAGATGCACCACAGCGTTTCTGCTTTCAAAAATAAAAGCCTGCTACCTGGTTTGCTATAGTGTCTAAAAGGTTGTTGAAAAAGAATACAAGTAACTAGTTAGTAAGGTTATGATATTATATAAGGATAAGAGGAGTATGTTACTTAACCTATTGCATTTGACATCTTTCAAAATCCAGGGTGTTCTGGGGCGCCTGGGGAGCTCAGTCGTTTAAGCATCTGCCTTCACCTCAGGTCATGATCCCAGGGTCCTGGGATCAAGTCCCATGTCAGGCTCCCTGCTCCGCGGGGAGTCTGCTTCTCCCTCTGTGCCTCTCCCTCCCCCTGCTTGTGTGCTTGTGTGCTCTCTTTCCCTCTCAAATAAATAAATAAAATCTTTAAAAAAAAAAAAAGTGTTCCAAGTTATAACTTGCATTTCAAAAAGTTGGAATTCTTTTTTTCCTGTTACCACAGTTCCCATGGCCTCTAGGATTCTCTAGTAAGAATGCTCATTCTTTCTTTCTCTCAGTCTAGTCTCACTCTGGCCCATCTCTTGCACCTACTTTCTCTAACTCAGTGTCATTGCCCCTATGCCTTGTTCAGGAGCATGGTGTCTGGTGATGGTGATTTCATGTATTCTCTGCGTGGGCTCAGTAACAACTTCTGTTTTCTTGGGGATCAAGTGTAAGTACAAAAGGATATATTCAAAATAATCTATATACATATATTTCATATACTTTATACATTACAAACATATATATACACTGCATGTAGCTTTCTATACAATTCTGTATATGTGTATCATTATAAATAAAATGTCATAATTTATAAATAGAAAAATCAATTAGAACCATGTAAATGCATATAACTGATGTAAAATAATGGCTTCCTATTTTTTTTTATTTTTTGAGAGAGAGAGAGAGAGTGCATGAGTAGGGGGAGAGATAGAGGGAAAGGGAGAGGGAGAAGCAGACTCCCCACTGAGCAGGGAACCCCACTCAGGGCTTGATCCCAGGACCCTGAGATCATGACCTGAGCCTAAGTCAGATGCTTAACCAACTGAGCCACCCAGGTGCCCCTTGGATTCCACTTTCAATAACTTTTAAGGTTCATTTGCATGTTGTTTAACCTAACTCTAATGCCATAGAGTCTCTTTGGGGAAAATAATGCAAATAATTACTTATATTATTATTCATTTTGTGAGTCATATTAGCATGCTAAAGGATACAACTAACAAGATTTCAGTATAATGCTCTTTCTTTTCTAAATATGTATGTATTCTAAACTTTACACGAATATTTTAGTAAGTTTTTCACTTTATATTAGGCAAAGTAGAATTTAATAAGTTTAATGTAAATCTGAGCACTTCATATAGGCCATATTTAATCACATTTCTTTTTTTTAAGATTTTATTTATTTACTTGTGGAAAGAGAGAGATACAGAGCACAAGCAGGGGGAGCGGCAGGCAGAGGGAGAAGCAGGCTCCCCACTGAGCAGGGAGCCCGATGCGGGACTCCATCCCAGACTCTGAGATCACGACCTGAGTCCAAGGCAGACACTTAAGTGACTGAGCGACCCAGGTGTCCCTTTAATTACATTTCTTTATTTCCTTTAGTGTAAATTTAAGACATGTTTTCATATATGGCAAGTGAAATTTTTATAAAATATAATTACTGGGCTGCAATTCCAAAAAACAAACAAAAAACTAATAACCTGCATTATCACTCATGCTAATACTAAGAAATATGCTTAGAAAGACAGAGATAAAGGTTATTGTCCAGATAATTCTTCCCTTTCGTATGCCCTGGCAAATCATTTCTGTATGTAGGAGACTTTAGCTGGTCTCTTACAGTTCGAAAGATCAGAAGTCTACAATGAGGAAGAGATCAGATTTGCTTCCACAAAGTACAAGAAACTTCATCTTGTTCATGTTAGCTATGAGCTTATTTTCCTGATTGTTCTTAGAAAATTGTTTTAAGCGGCGCATGAGCGGCTCAGTCAGTTAAGTGTCTGCTTTCGGCTCAGGTCATGCTCCCAGGGTCCTGGGATAGGTCCTAAGTCGGGCTCCCGGTTCAGCGGGGAGCCTGCTTCTCCCTCTCCTCCCACCTCGTGCTCTCTCTCACTATCTCTGTCTCTCTCTCTCTCAAATAAATAAATAAAATCTTTTTAAAAAAGTGCTTAAAAAAAGAAAATTGTTTTAAGAATTACTAGAAGCTCAATAAATAATTTTTACTTTGTTTATCAACTGAAAAGAAATTTCACTGCTCACAGCAAATGTTAGCACTTCCAGAAAGCATTCCTTATCTCACCCTATACTCCCTCTGTGCTTCACATAAAAATGCATTATTTAAACCAAATGCAAGTCCATTTTTTTAAGAAACTCACATTCAAACAGACAAACTGGAAATAGATTGCAGAGTTGAAAAAGAACTAACAAATAAGTAATTGACATCTAATAATTCAGTTTCTTCTCTAAAACCTGGGCACTTTGAACAGAATATTGCTGGGCTCCATTCTAATGACAGTACAAGAATTCATATTTAACTGGTATTGCAAATATCAAAAGATATGGTTTAAATATCACACCTATTTGATAAATTTAAATGCTACTTTATAAATATGAACTACCTGCAGTAAGAAGATAAAACAAATGAAGTATAAAGAACACTTTCAATTAAAAACAAGATTAACTGAAGATGTAATACTTAAAGCAATATCATGAAGTGATTGGGATATAGAATTTGTCTATATATAAAAATGAACCTGTAGTCTCCAATCACCAATTATTACCTAGCCAAAAAGCACATTGTACATATTAAGGATGTTCATAAAAGCATACTCTACATTTTTTCCATGTCCTCAAAAAACTTGCTGTCCAATATATATTTACTTTTGTCTCTCTCTGTAGTTCATGAAATCTGTTTAGATGAATTATCATGTTCCTAACAAACTCTAGGTCACTTTAAATTGTACTGATTAACTTTGACCCACAAATCCCACTTTTGGAAACTTTCTCTATAGAAGAACTCGCATGTATAACAATGGGGTAAAAAAAAAAAAAAGGTTGGAAAAACTCAAATGCCTTTCATTAAGGGATCATTTAAATTAACAATAGTACATCCACATTGTGGAATACCACGAAACAAGGAAGAGAAAGAGAAGGAGAAACAGAAGGAGGAAAAGAAAAAGAAGGAAGGGCAGGAGGAAGAAGTAGAGAAGGAGGAAGAGGAGGGTGAGGGGAGGGAGGGAGAGAAGGGGTAAGGAAAGGGGGAGGGGGAGGAGCAACAGCAGTAAGAGCAGCTGCTCTCTATGGACTGATATGTAAATGTCTTCATGATACATCCTCAAGTGAAAACTTCTAAAGTAATGTATACACTACCCCACAATTTGATTGAAAACGGGTATTTTCTTCATATGCCAAGTGACACTGGAAGGATATATAAGAAGTAACTAAAAATGGGGTCAGGAGAGGGGGATAGGTGGTGACAATGTCAGTGTTTATTTATTTATTTTTTTAATGTTGCAATTCCGTGGATGTAGTATCTTTTAAACAATTTTTTTTAACTCCCAAAACAAAAATTGGGGAAGAAAATATTCTGATGAGGATAAAAGAAAGCCAGCCAGAAAATAAAGTATTTAAATCTTTCAGTAATTTCTGGAAAATGCTTACAAATAAAAGTTTTGGCTTTCTTTTGTTTTGTGTTAATAGTTATAAATACTTTTAAAACTTTTGGGCACCTGGGTGGCTCAAAGCGACTGCCTTCGGCTCAGGTCATGATCCTGGAGTCCCGGGATCGAGTCCCGCATCGGGCTCCCTGCTCAGCGGGGAGTCTGCTTCTCCCTCTGACCCTCTTCCCTCTCGTGCTCTCTCTCTCATTCTCTCTCTCTAATAAAAAAATTAAAAAAAACCCAAAAACTATATTTAAAAAATAAATAAATAAATACTTTTAAAACTTTTAAATATTACTACACAAATGTAAAATATTTTTACCATTTGGCTTTTGTTCAAGTATAGTGACTTTCATTTTTTTGCTACCAATCCTGTCACTTGCCAAGGTCATCTTATACATTCTCAAAACATTCATAGGGCTTTTATTAAGTAAAGCCAGTTACAGAAACAAAAGAGTTGTGTTAAGAAGCAGTTTGTTCACTTCAAATTTCCTAACTGCTTGTCCTTGCTAGTTATAGATTATGTTATAGCCAGTAGATTTCGAGCTATAAAAATCATTTAATTTTTAATTTTTAATAATTATTTCATCTTAATTATCATTCCATTTCAACAAAAAACGTTAAATGTTTTCTCCATGAAAATTTTCAGTGTAAGAGAAAGGTCAATACTAATATTTAAATTACATATATAACCACATATGATGTATATAATTTAATATACATAGTAAAAACACGGACATGTTTCTGACAAAGAGTAATGAATGAAATCTATATCCTGTTTAAAATATGATATCAAAGTAATGAATGGGTTAATTACAAATTATTCTTATATACCATCAAAAGTGCATCCATGGATATCTGACAATAAAATAACTGGTAAAAATTAATCATGCTACATTGATATAAAAGAACACTCTGCAGTAATTTAAAGAAGTCTTCTAGAACTATTGTTACTAACACGGAGATATGGTTATGCGATATTTTCCCATGAAATAAGCAGATTGAAAAGTCAGTTATGGAAAAATGTAGTTTTATAAAAATTATATGTAAAATAGATGTATTTTTTACATACAGATATGGAAAAATTTTCAATAGATATAAACTAAATGTTAACAACTGTTATTTGAATGGTAGTTTAAATGTAAGAAGTAATTTCTTGCTTTCTTCCTACTATTTTGTATATTCTGTTTTTTTCTACCAAAACTCTATATGCAAAAAGTTTTCTAACAAATCGGATTTTTCCATTTGTTTTTACTACTCCTTTTCATTTTCTTTTCTTTTTTTTTTTTTAAAGATTGTATTTATTTGACAGAGAGAGACACAGCAAGAGAGGGAACACAAGCAGGGAGAGTGGGAGAGGGAGAAGCAGTCTTCCTGAGGAGCAGGGAGCCCGATGCGGGACTCGATCCCAGGACCCTGGGATCATGATCTGAGCTGAAGGCAGACGCTTAACGACTGAGCCACCCAGGCGCCCCGTCTTTTTCATTTTCTTAATTCATCAATTAGATATATCATATAACATCATATAATAAACACTTTTATTTTGGGGGTTTTAAAAACTTTTGTCTTGTATTCCCCTAAGTAAATATATTGTTTAATCTATATTCTTCACTTGTTGCAAATTGATTACAAGCCCAACACCAGGAAAGGCACAGTACATTGCTTTCCATATAAAGAGAAACTAAAGAGAAGTCTCATTTCCCTTTCTACAGTTTTATTACAGTTTTATGTAGTACAACCTTTTCAGATCATAATAAACAAAACAGCAATAACCTCACGAATATAGTTAATCTAGAAAAAGTTCGTCCAAATTCAAAATTTTGGAAAAGGGTATCTCCAAACATGCCAGATTATAAATAGAATAAAATAAATAACATCACTGTCTTACTCCCACTCTGGTTACATCCAACCTTTTGCTAAGAAGGAACATAATCCAAGCCACTAGTAGCCGGGATTACTTGAACCATCCACAGATGGATAAGGCATAACCATCCATTGTCCATAGCTCTTGAGCAAAATATAGAAAAGAGGGTGAAAGTCGTAGAGCATATTGAAAAAGATTAGTATGTTTGTAATAGTAGACCCAAAAGTAGAAGACAGAGAGAGTTAGACAAAAGTAATATTATTTTAAGACTTACTGGATGAATATTTTCCAAAATTGATTAAAAACATTAAGCCATAGGTTCAAGGAATTCTATAAAAAACAATCAGCATAAAGAAAAATCAATAGCCTTGTTGAGAAAAATATTTAATAAAATAGGAATAGATACTTTATAGAATGATTTTTAAAAAGAACTGACTTGGGACACCTGGGTGGCTCAGTCGGTTAAGCATCTGCCTTGCACTCGGGTCATGATCCTGAGGTCCTGGGATGTAGCCCTGCATCGGGCTCCCTGCTCAATGGGGAGCCTGCTTCTCCCTCTCCCTCTGCTTGTACTCTCTCGGTCAAAATAATTAAGTTTAAAAAAAAAAATCTTAAATTATGACTTAAAAAGCTAGTCAGACTTATAAGGAAAGAACTACAAAAAAAATATGAAAATAATATGAAAATGGGAGGACTGGCCCTGCCGAATATTGAAATAAATTATAAATCTAAAATAATGAAGGCAGTGTGGTACTGACCTAGGAATAGATAAGCAGGTGGATTGAATATCATTAAAACAATAGAAATACATCAAAGTAGTTTATTGGAAATTACAGTAAGCTAAAGATGACAATTAAAAGAGGATGAGGAGGGGGTTATTCAGTAAATGATATGAGACCACAATGTCGCCATCTTGGGGAAAAATTTGGAAGTCATACCACATAAATTCCAACAAAATAAATTCCAGCTAAACAAACTGATGGGTATTAAAGAGGGCACGTTCTGCGTGGAGCACTGGGTGTTATACGCAAACAATGAATCATGGAACACTACATCAAAAACAAATGATGCAATGTATGGTGATTAACATAATATAATTTAAAAAAAAGAAACAAACTAAGAGTTTTAGAGGGGAAGGGGTGGGAGATGGGCTAGCCTGGTGATGGGTATTAAGGAGGGCACGTCCTGCATGGAGCACTGGGTGTTATACGCAAACAATGAATCATGGAACACTACGTCAAAAACTAATGATGTCATGTATGGTGATTAATATAACATAATTAAAAAAATAAAAAATAAATACATTCCAGCTACATCAAAATATGAAAGTGAAATATGCTTGTAAAAAGTATGATCTCAGGTGTAAGATTTTTGCTCAAAATGACTCAAAAAGCATCTGATGTATGTGGGGTGAATTACCACAAGCAAAGTCAAAAGACACATTGGGAAACTTGTGGCTCATATCACGCACAAGCTAAGTTGACCCAAATGCAAGTGCACTAACACGATCAGTTAAACAGGATTGGTTGCTAAAGCAGATTCACACAACCTGAAATGACAATGCTTACAACTCTATAGTTTATTACAAGAAAAGGATGCAGTTTAAGAACTGCATTAAAGTCAGGATATGGTCTGGAGAGGCCAGGTGCAGACAAGTACTTTGTCCTTTCTCTGTAACTATCTCCTCAGGACAAAATTTCTCTCTTGAGTCAGGAACCACTGATGTGTATGTCCACAAAACACTTTGGTAGCAGGGAGCCCAAAATGGAGTCTTGCTTGGTAATTTTTATATTATGCTGACCACATAGGATATTTCTTTCTTTTTTTTTTAAGATTTTATTTATTTACTTGTCAGAGAGAGAAAGAGAGAGAGAGAGCACAAGCGGGGGGGAACGACAGGCAGACAGAGGGAGAGGCAGGCTCCCTGCTGGGCAAAGAGCCCAATGTGGGACTTGATTCCAGGACCCCGGGATCATGACCTGAGCCGAAGGCAGACGCTTAACCCACTGAGCCACCCGGGTGTCCCCACATAGGCATATTTCTTCCAGGTAACCAGCTTCGACAGCAGAGACTGCTCAGGATCTCATTGTAACCAGGGGCAAATCATCAGTCATATGGCATCAGTAAACAATGCTGACAAGCTAGTATCATCTGACCAAAAAATCCTCAGACTGATGATTACAAAGCTACACTATTAATCAGTATGTCTCATACCTTGTCCAGAGGTCAGTGCCAGGCAGGAACTTTAGAAACACTGTTCAGGCTGAGCCCAGGCCTGTTTGAATGCATTCCCACAGCCCAATAAGGACCTCATATAAAACAATAATGAAAAGACCAGAAACCCAATGAAAAAAATTATAATATATAATTATATCTTATATATAATTATACACTTCATAGAAAAGGAAATGCAACAGACATTTATATATATGAGAAAAAGTTTCAACACCAAGCATAAAAAGGGAAATGCAAATTCAAATGATATTGAAACACCATTTGCAACAGCTTATGTGGAGGGTAATTTGGAAATATCTAATACAATTTAAATGCACATAAACTTTGACCTAGCAACTTTTCTTAAAAATATACTTGCATATGTGTGAAATTATGTCTGACTAAGGTTCTTTATTACAGTATTTGGAATACCAAAAGATTACAAATAGTCTGAAAGTCAGTAGGGAATGACTAGCATAAATCATGATATATCCATACAATAGAATCTGATACAGTTTTAATGAAAGAACGAGAAAGTTCTTTATATACTGACATGGAATTTTGTCTAAAATATATTTTTAAGTGGTAAAATATGAAATATGAAAATATTAAAAACCATATAAGTAGATCATTACTATTTGTATAAAGAGAGGGCATTTTATATTCATTTACTTGTAAAATTCAAAATACATGTGGAAGAATAAAAAAGAAATTCGTAAACTGACGCTCTAGGCGAGTGGAGTTGGGTGCATCCAGGTGGCAAAGGGGTTTTTGCTCTGTATCCTTTGAAGATTTTGTTTTTTTTAATTAAAAAAAATTTTTTTTAAGATTTTATTTATTTATTTGAGAGAGAGAGAGAGCATAAGCAGGGAGGAGGGGCAGAGGGAGAGGAGAAGCAGGCTCCCTGCAGGGAGCCAGCCACAGGGCTGGATCCCAGGTCCCCATGATCACAACCTGAGCCCAAGGCAGATGCTTAACCGACTGAGCCACCCAGGCACCCCAAAGTTTTTGATTCTTGAACAGTGTAAATTTTAAACAAAACCTTAATGCAAATTAAAGTCACAAAAATAATCAGTAATTTGTAGTTGTCCTTAGTCTGTATGGAAGAATTACTTTGTTCTAATTTGTCAGTATTTTTAGTTAAGAGTGATTGTTATTTATTGTTTGAAGTGTTCCAGGTATCCACTATTGCAATGAAGCAGCAAGAAAAACTCATCCATCAGAACAGAGCACTGTTGAATTTCACACAATGGAAGAGAAACCATGCCCTTCAGATGAAGTATTGCCAAACCTTGATGCAAAACTCTTTCAGTTCAGGTAATTGATATAAAATCAGTTTCCACTGTACAGATACAAATACAGGCACCAATTCCTCAAAAGAAAGAGTGGTGCACATTTTACTGTCTGCAAAATTGTAGACAGAATTTTAAAATTGGGAGGGACATAATTGTGATCCACACTCCAGTTCAATGTTTTTTATATATTTATATATCTCAGTGGAAAATACTGATGTCTCAAGAAATGCAGATTTAAAAAACATACACTCAAATTTCAAAGTGAAATGTGTGGGAGTAGCAGATTGGATTTTTTTTTTTTAAGCAACATTTTATGTTTTAGCCAATCACTCAAATTTATAAGTGTATCTTTAATTATAGTCCTAAATTCTTCAATATACTTAGTTTAAACACTGCTTTAGATTCAAATTTAGATATCTCTTTGAGCAGAAAAATCATTTTTTAAAAAATCAGAGTATTTACCATAAAATTATAACAATGTAGGATTCAACTCTTTTAAAAATTCTATGCCTTTACTTCAGTTTTATCTTTTACATCTCTCACTAGAATCTTAAACCTAAAACAGCCTTATTTCTATGTGCAGTATAGTTCGCCAAGTATTCTATGTTTATTTAATTGACGTTAATTGTCCCTGTAGTGGATATCATTTAAATAATCACCAGTGAGAGATGTCAGAAACCTACCTTCTGGTTGAAATTTAGTCAAATAAATGTTTACAGAATCACTGGGTGCCCAACAGTGTTTTTAAATACCACAGGCTTTTGCAAGCATGAATTAGCCCCACCTCTGAGCCATTAACCTTGAGACAATGGCAATATCCATTTTGGAGACCTACAAATTTAATATGTCCTCCAAAATTTCAGCTGCCTAGTCTTGCTTTAACAATAGTCAAGACACAGATTAGCATAGATTCCAAACAAAAGACACTGAAAAGCTTTAAATAACTCAACAGCCAGGCCCTGGACACTGATAATGAACTATTTGTGACCCTAAATAGAAGGCCTCTTTCTAGAAAGTAGAGTTCTGGAAATTTCAGTGTCTTTCCCTCTGTGCAAGAAACACTTGGTCAAGTTCTTGCATTTTGGTCCCCCTCTTATAGTCTTGAGCACAATTCTTTTGTGAATACATTCTTTCTTAAGACAGGTTTCATAAAACTGATTAAACAATATGGCTTACTTCTAAGTTACATCCAAGTCCTGAAATAAGCCAATTGGTCACTTATGTTTTTCTCCAATTTTCCTCACCCATATATTTTCAAATCAGCCCTCAAAGTGCGCTGTTTGTTCTGTCCATTCTATAGGAAACATTTTCATGTTTAACTCTCAGAATTTACACATCAACTTGAAACTTATTATCAGCTTGCCTAATGGTCCAGCGTATATTCCAACTAAATTGGGTGATTAAGATTAACAGACACGAAACAATAAGTAAACAATGAAGACTATACATGATGTAACCTTAAAGAGAGGAAAGATTTATAAAAATAGAATCATCAACTCAGTTGTTATAGAAGAGGAACAATTTCGGAAAAAAAATTCTGAAATTAATTTTATCTTAAATTAATTCCTACAGACCTATTGCTGTTGGAAATGTAGAAATCTTTCTGTGGTAAGGACCAACGCATCTGAACCATTTGGTTGCAATGAATGGTTAGCTTCACTGGGGACGGAACAAAGGTTTCTTTTGAGGAGATGGGCTACTAATATTTTTATAATAATTTTAACAAAGGGAAATGTTTCTATTCAAAGCCGATAACTGCAACCCTTGTCCAGACAACTGGATTCAGAATGGCGGAAGTTGTTACCGTGTCTTTGAAAACTGGAAATTTTGGCACACCAGTAAAGAGGACTGTTTGAAGGAGGGTTCTAATCTTCTACAAATAGACAGCAAAGAAGAAATGGTAAACAGCGTCTCATGGTTTCATATCATTCTGAAAACACCCTGGTACATATTAAAAGCAAGGACTGATTCTAATTCTACAGAATTTCTTAATATTCTATAACAAAAATATATTTATTGTATATAATAAGGGTTTAAAAGAGACAATGTAGGAATTACCAAGGTTTATTTTCCTTTTGATTGGACAAAAACAAACAAACAGGAAGCTATCCAGAAATCAAGGGGAATGTGTTAGTTGTATGTCCTTTGTTAATCAAAAAGGAGAAGGAATAAGGGAAATACCATTTTGTCACTTGTTAATTCACTCCAAGATATACATATATTATAATTTTGTATATGCTTCAAATTTGTTATTTTCAATGCTGTTGGGAAGTGTAACAACCAATAAAAATTTTGTAATTAAAAGAAAAAGCAGAAGTATAAAAAGGGAAGTGATGTCATGAAATGGCGAGGTCTATAAAAATAAGCCTTTGCTAAATGAAATGTTTAATTGACGTTAAGTCTGCTTTACTAACATCTTAACAAACATCTTAAACAGTGTTTCCCTGAAATCTTTTACCCATAAATATGTGTGAGGTAGAATACACAGTTACACATTTCTGACCTTGTTAAAAATGTGTGCTTGCTATACTCAATAATTAAAGTTTATTTTTCCAAAAATAATGAGAGAACAATTTAAGGATATGTTAAGGATATGCAGTAAACCAAGGCAACTTGGACTTACAACAATTACAGGTTTACACTATTTTTTCTGTGCAAATTTGGTGACAAAATCAATAATGTTTTTTTTAACAAAATATGCCTACAGTTAAGTTGCGTCTGGAAACTCCTAAACTATTGAAGTATGCTGGGAAAGAATGATCTATGTGGTCTATGATGTCAAGGATGTTTTTACTTTTCCTAATAATGAAGGTTCAGTATAACACCTTGTTTTGACATACATTCTCTGTCAAATTCTGAGTCTAAGATTATTTTAATACCAGATGCCTATTTTCCCCATAGTCCTCAACACCCCATCTATCATATGGCAATAAACAAATCTATAAAATGTATCACTTCTTTTAAAAACCCTCTGTCTTGTTCTCTAGCTCTCAAGTTCCCACTAATGTCTGTCTAGGCAAAATGCCACACTTTATATCTCATGACAGTTTGTTGTTGTTTTCCCCTCAGTTCACTGTTCAGGTCTTGTTTCTTCTAGAACTTTATCACTGGCAGCCTAAGGACGGTCAAAAGAGGCTATGATTACTGGGTGGGGCTGTCTCAGGATGCACTCAGCAGAGCTTGGCTTTGGGAAGATGGCTCCTCTCCTTCCCCTCACCTGTAAGTACCTGAGAAAAATGTTACAAGAAAAAGTAGAAACATGAGGGAATTCCAAAGTTTATTTTATTTTATACCTCAGATTTTCTCCAGAAGACATAGCCAGCATGATAATTTCACAGGCTTTTGACTGGAATCAAAGCTGAGGTAATTTCAGAGTAGCTTCATGGCTTCCAAGTCTTCCTACTTCTCAGCCTCCTGCTATTACACTCTAGCACAATTCACATCAAAATTTGAGAATCTGAATGAACAATATAATTATCACGGATGTTTCCTGTGTATTATTTAATGGCTAGCGAGTGCTAAGGGAAAGAAATTATAGTAACTATTAAGAGATTTCCCTATTAAGCTTTTTACTTTTATTTATTTATTTTTCCCTATTAAGCTTTTTAGATAGAGCTAGGGAGATTGGTGAACAGGATTAGGTGCTTTAGTATTTTGAGAATTAAGAGTCAGGGAAGAGATCCTAAGTTAGAGCCTATTTTTGTGTATGTATTTCCTTTAATATGAGGTTTTTGATATTATGTTAACATATTTTTATTGAGAGAAAATACCGCTATTACTGAAGAGGGGGTGTGCCACAGGAGGGTACCATGTTAAAACAAAACAAAAGAAAAAGCTATACCCACCTCTCATCAGTTACCCACAAGAACATCACTGTAAGCCCCATACCTAATGTCAGATTCACTGACTTTCTTCTCCAGATCACCAATACAGACACTCCAATCAACTGACCAGCTCTGTGGATATCTCAAGGACAATTTCCTTTCTTCTGCTAACTGCAGCATTTGGAAATTTTTTATCTGTGAGAAGTATGCATTAAGATCCTCTATCTGAAAGAAATTGTACCAGAAGAGATCTACTATGATAGTATGTTGAACAGGACATTGGAAAACCTGCCACAAAATTGCAAAGAGCAAGGGCAGAAGTAAACCCAAGTGTGGGCTATGAAACTACCTACCTTACTTCTGAAACAAATAATGCAATATATGTTATGAAACTACCTACCTGTACTCAAAACCTATCTCTACATTTACACTGGGCAATTTTCTTCAATACTTTCCAGACCTTCATTTGACATTGTTTAAACTGCCAAGAATAAAACCAATTTATAGCTACAGAGGACAAAATCCTGAAAGGTTGAGAACAAACTGAAGAAAAATTCTTTGTGTTTTTTTTTTTTTTTTTTCTAATCTAGAGTGACTATACACTCCACACAAAAATCTATAAGCCATTGGGGGGAGATGATGCATTTCTAGCTGACTGATTTTTTAAAAATTAATAAATAAATGTGGCCTTTTAAAGTTTCTACCTGCCAGATTTTTCTATGCATTTTCTGCTATCGAACCAGTAGGGTGGTTGGACAGAGATATGGATTTTCAAATTAGAAGGAAGACAGGAGCTATCTGCTGTTGGTAAGACAATACCCTTTTAGGACTGCAGAATTCTACTGGACACGTGAACTACCAGCACTTCATATAAGCGGAAGTAATAGTCAGGCTGTGAATACCAATGCATGTCTAGTAAAGGACAGCTGTGAACTTCCTTCCTCTTTCTCACTGGCTGTCCCCACCACTCACAAATCAAAGGGCTCAGATTGGGACTCTCAAGGTTAACACTCCAGCACTTTTTTTCCTATTTTTTTTTATTTTAATTCCAGCATAATTAACATACAGTGTAATATTAGTTTCAGGTGTACAATATAATGATTCAACAATTCCATACATCATCCAGTGTTCATCACGACAAGTGTACTCCTTAATCCCCATCACCTATTTCACTCATCCACCCACCCACCTCCCCTCTGGTGACCATCAGTTTGTTCTCTAGAGTTAAGTCTGTTTCTTGGCTTGTCTCTCTTTTTGTTTTTTTTTTTTCCTTTGCTCATTTGTTTTGTTCCTGAAATTCCACATATGAATAAGATCGTATGGTATTTGTCTTTCTCTGACTTATTTCATTTAGTATTATACTCTTTAGCTCCATACACGTCATTGCAAATGGCAAGATTTCATTCTCTTTTGTGGCTGAATAATATTTCATTGCGTGCGTGTGTATGTGTGAGTGTGTGTGTGTGTGTGTGTGTGTATCACCTCTTCATCCATTCATCATCGATAGACACTTGGGCTGCTTCAATATCTTGGCTATAGTAAATAATGCTGCAGTAAATGAGGGTGCATGTATCCCTTTGAATTAGTGTTTTTGTATTTGGAGGGATAAATATTCAGTAGTGTGATTACTGGATCGTAGGGTACTTCCATTTTTAACTTTCTGAGGAACCTCCATCCTGTTCACAGTGGCTGCTCCAGTGTGCATTCCCACCAACAGCACTCAAGGGTTCCTTTTTCTCCACATCCTCATAATTCCTTTTGTTTCTTGAGTTTTTGATTTTAGCCATTCTGACTGGTGTGAGGTGATTTCTCATTGGGGTTTGGTTTGCATTTCCCTGATGATGAGTGATGTTGAATATCTTTTCTTTTTTTTTTAAGATTTTATTTATTTATTTGACAGAGAGATAGAGAGAAAGCACAAGTATGCAGAGTGGCAGGCAGAGGGAGAGGGAGAAGCAGGCTCTCCACTGAGCAGGGAGCTGGATGTGGGGCTCGATCCCAGGACCCCAGGATCATGACCTGAGCAGAAAGCAGCCGCTTAACCGACAGCCACCCAGGCGCCCCTGATGTTGAATATCTTTTCATGTGTCTGTTGCCATCTGGATGTCTTTTTTAGAGAAGTAACACTCCAGCACTTTCAACTGCATCTCTCTGTGCCTCAGTTTCTTCATTATAAAATAATAGAATTTATTTCAAAATAATATTTGAAGATTGAAGTATGTATATGTTAATTGCTAAGAATAGTGCCTTTCTTAGAGTTTTGGCATTGTATCAATGCTCCCTACTGTTACCTGGAGTAAATCACCAGTCAGCTCTAGGCATCTAGGGATGTAGACCAGATAAAAATGACCTTTTTTCCTGTTCATGTTACAGGAATATTGAGAAGATGAAGTTTATATGTAAAATGTCAACAACTGTCTAGACAGAATATCTGTTTTAAAGTTAATGAATATCCTCGGGGCACCTGGGTGGCTCAGTCGTTAAGCGTCTGCCTTCGGCTCAGGTCATGGTCCCAAGATCCTGGGATCGAGCCCCGCATCGGGCTCCCTGCTCCATGGGAAGCCTGCTTCTCCCTCCCCCACTCCCCCTGCTTGTGTTCCTTCTCTGGCTGTGTCTCTCTCTGTCAAAAAAATAAATAAAATCTTTAAAATAAAATAAAATAAAATAAATAAATAAAGTTAATGAATATCCTCAAATAAATCTATAGACAATCTGTATCTTAGGTCTGGAGGCTCCTTGGACATAGATTAGCTTGTTCCCAAACGACAGGAGATATGAAAGTATCTTATGATCTATAGGAAGGAAAAATTCACTAATTATTATTATATTACTTTTTTACCACTTACCATGCTTAGAATACCTTACTACACGGTAAATTTTCATCAAATATCTGCTAAATTCAATATAATTTTATTTAATCTTTCATTTTTCGCAAGGCGTATTTGAGCTACACTGGAGTCTCATCTTTCTTTATAATAAAGACACCACTTACTTTTTTTTTAAGATTTTATTTATTTATTTGACAGAGAGAGACAGCAAGAGAGGGAACACAAGCAGGGGGAGTGGGAGAGGGAGAAGCAGGCTTCCCCCTGTGCAGGGAGCCCGATGCAGGGCTCGATCCCAGGACCCTGGGATCATGACCTGAGCGGAAGGCAGACGCTTAATGACTAAGCCACCCTGGCGGCCCATCCACTTACTTTATTTTAAAAGTAAAATAAAACCCAATTCACCGAGGCAGTGGAAATCATTTAAATGAACCTAGAAGTCTATTATAAAACGTGACCTCTGAAGGAGTGGGTCCTTTAAGGATGGGAAGGACATGTTTCATGTTGTTGTTGTTGTTTTTAATTTACCCTTGACCTGGAGTTTAAATGGTGGGCCTTTCAGTAAAAGGGATTTTTCTAATTTTCTGCTGAACCTAGAGAAAGAAAATAGCACAGAAAACAGAGTATAAGTTGAATCCTGTGTTTGGTTTTCACAGCTGACAGCTGGAAGCTGAATATAATAACTTGGAATGGAGGAGAAACAATAACAATTTTTAGTAGTAAAGACCGTTTGTCTTCAACATTCTTCAGAGCATTGTCATGGGACTATGTTTAGAGAAAGGATAGGAAGCATTTAATAACTCTTTTAAGAAAAAGTACAATGAAGCCAAAGGCAAACATCCTTCGGCTGATGTCATCCCATCAATATGTGATGCAGTCTTTGCAAGTCAGAATCTTATCGACAGCCCAGCTGGCAAATTTCTTCAGTGGCAATACTGCTTTTCACATAGATATTATGGGTGGAAGATTTTTTCCTACAGGTTGCTTTTGGTCCAAAATATCAAGATCTTTTTCCAGGCACTGGTGAGAGATTGGGCCTTGGCCCTGGGATAACAAGTTTTAGATCTCGGTCTCACCAATAATAAATGGTATATCTTTGATCCATTTCATTGAAATCCAAGTTAGATTTAAAAAGGGGGGAGGGGAAAAGGAAACAGAAAACTCTGTCCTACAAATGTAAAGAAGCTTTGTTATATGCCATGGGTAAAGTTTATTAAGTGTGTAAAAAAGAAAAACATTAGAATAGTAATATTGATAGAATAATAATATTAGATCATAAAAATCTGTTCATCCAATGAACCTTGTAAAAAAAGTTATGTACACTTTAAATCAGATTGTGATTTTTTTTTTTTGTACTCTTCATAAATGACAAGAATCCCTTTACAAAGTATTTGACCTCCCAAATATTAACACTGAAACTGAGGCAATCTACTACTCTTCTACTTATTTCATAATTGCTTCTGTCCCCAAAGTAAAAGCTCCCCTTATACTTCTCACTCTTCCTGCTATTGCAGGACTCATGACTGTTTCCTGTTGATAAGTTTTAAGAGCTGGTTCAATATCCTCAGGAAAAGAAATAGCTCATTGTGTACCTAGGGCACTCAGATCTACCAGGAAAGACTATGTTCCTCATTTGACTTTTCCTGAAATTTCTTCGGAATGACCTAAACACACAAGAGCCTGGAAGAGAAAAGTTCTCAAGCCAAAAAAATTCACGGGGCAATACTCTCTCTGATTCTCCATGGAAAAATGTTCTCAGCAAATTATGTCATGACTATTTCCTATTCTTAAATTTTAAAAAAGTTTGTGGAGAAAATGTTATACCATACTACTCTTCTTTTGAAATATTTGCTCATATTGGGATTAGTGTTGTGAGTTTTGTTATACAGATGATGGGATTGAGGGCAGAGATGGAGAGAAATGAGGTCAAGAATAGCAAAAACGTCAAAGAAATGTTATTTTTTTCCCTCCTCACTATCTAAAGTGACACTTTCCTCAGGTTGCAGATTTGAAGGGAATACTTCAAATACTATTCACCACCCATGCCCAGGCAGCTAGACTCTTTAAAGCAATGGCATTTAAGGAGACACTTGTCATCCAACCCTGCACTAGACTGCAGTTATGTAGGATGCCAGGGGTCAACACGTGTGTCATGTCACTATTTACAACTTAGTCCACAAAGTCATTCGACTTTCCTTAGGTTAACCACATTTTCTTCCTGTAGTAACAAGACTTAAATTACACTTAATTGCTTGGCTGAAGTCCTCATCCACATTTCTTGTTACATGTTTATTATATTAACTTGCATCCATTAAATATCTGCACCAATCATAGAAAGTATTTGGTAATATCCACAGCTTTCCAAAGTGCTTCTCTACAATTTACTAAAGAATACAGGTCTCCAAAAAGGGTTGTTTATTCTTGTGTGTGCTCCCTTATTTAAAAAAATAAAAAATTACTAATTCCTTTTTTTTTACATATTTTTAATATCTTTTACATTTTATATTACAATTTGGATTATAAAACTAATTTCACATTTACTTCATTTCAGCTAACAGCACCATGAAAAAATTATAAACATTTGCACTTTATACTTAATGAAATAAGCTTAGTGAAGTGAAGTGATTCACCCAATAACAGATCAGAATACAAGGTCTAAAACTCTCATTTTATGACCACAAATACAGTGTTTTTGCATGACACACTAAATGGAACACAAAATTTGTTCAACACTGAAGAAATTTCATAATCAAGAAAAAACTGAAAGGAAAATTCATAAGGAAGAAATCCACAAGCAGTGATTGCTAAGTAACACAGTCTTATGAAAATGAATACACAAATGTTCTCTTTATCATGTTTGCTAATTTAATGTCATTTCACCATGCAATAGATGTTTACTGAAAGTAAAACTGAAGCAGCCTAGTTTTCACTGCTGAAAAGTAAAGATAATAGATTATCCTCATGAGCATTAAACCCCTAAAACTGATTTCTCTACAAATCAACAAAGTCACTGGTTGTGATGGTGTTATTTGCAGTGACCCCTGTTAATATTGTGCATCTTGGCATCCTGAGAAAGGGGGCGCCTACACAGGAAGCCGGTGATGTGTGCAGATGTTCACAGTTTCTTTTCCACTTTCCATGACCTTATTGGATAACTCACCCTATTAAGATTGTATTTACTCATCTTTAGCTATGTGTTAATGACAAACTTGCCTCAAAGGATTTCACCTCAGGAGCGTATTAAAATCATCTTCTTAAAGACAGCATGTTTCTCAAAGACTTAACCCCCAAATAATCAGTACTTTTGTAGAGTCCCTACAAACTCTCTGTAAGGCAGAAACAACCAGAACACAGATTGCTACCATTTTTGAAGAGCATCTCCACACTGAAATTGTCCCCAAATCACAAATCTGTTCTCCATCACACACATTTCACATTATTTACATTTATTATTATTAAATCTTCAGTACCTGAAAGGCATAAACATGGATCAAATGGAAGAAAATAGGAGCTGAAACCAAACTATTATAGACCCACATAAAGAGACTGACTTTTGCTCTGGTCTTCAATATTGCTGAAGGGAGCATCAGGGACAGTAATTTGGATATGGAACTGAGCTGAGAATATTTCTTTCCTGGAAGAAATTCCTAGGGAAAGGACACAATTATTGGAGGTTTTTTGTTTGTTTGTTTGTTTTTTGTTTGTTTGTTTTTTAGAGAAAGAGATCATGAGTGGGGAGGGGCAAAGGGAGAGGGAGACAAAAAATCTTAAGCAGGTTCCACTCAGCACAGAACCCGAAGCAGGGCTCAATTCCAGGACCCTCAGATCATGACCTGAGCTGAAATCAAGAATCGGATGCCTAACTGACTGAGCCACCCAGGTGCCCCAATTGTTGGAGTTTTCAATGGATATGGGGAGGTAGGTTCGTAAGAAGTTAAGATTCTAACTAAAAGAATTATCCCAGTGGGAAGCAGGCCACTGACATGGCAGATAGGGGCTTTATTGAAAGACTAGGAAGGGAAAAATATGGAGTGAAGCAAACAGAAAGAATTAATTATGTATTTAGGAGCACAGTATAGGAAATGATTGCTAATTTCTCACAGACTACTTGACCTTTGGGGCAAAGAATGTTACGCACATTTATTTCCTCTATTTTGGTAAGTTTCTCACTTCTCCAGATATGAACGAAAACGTATTGGAAACAAGGAGATGATACTAGATGCTGAGAAGGAAGAACACTAGAAGTGACCTCTAAGACAAGAAGGTGGATTACAACTTTTATGAGATTCTGGGACTGGTTGTTGGCACATGGGATTTCTCTGTGACTGGTAAATATATGCATGAACCCAAGCTCAGGAGTGCTGGGGATCCTGAACAGGAAGCATGAAAATCCTTGCACCAGTCAGAAAAATTGCTTTTCTTAACTTTTTTTTCCATGTTCTAATGTCACAAATATCCTTTGCATTGACTTTGCTTGGCTCAACCTTTATGCTGAATTGTTGTATAAATATGGATCACATGGGGAAAAATAGGAACTAAAACCAAACTCTTACAGCTGCACATAAAGAGATTGACTTCTGTTCTGATCTTCAGTTTCCCTGAAGGGAGCTTGACATTGCAGTTATGGTGGGAGAGTCCATCACCTCCATATAATAGCTCAGGGAAGCTAATGGAGGCTCTCGGGCTTCACCGTGGCCGCCTTTCTTTCGCATGCACACCGCCTCAACTCTTTGCAGTCCTTCGAGAAAGCCTTTCCATTGAGGATGGTCACACAGTCCCTGCTTCTTAGGCTTGTAAAATCTATTATAATCTCAAACCTTAAAGAAAAAAAAAAAGGTTCATTGAATCATAGTTTGCTTCTAAAATGAAATGTTAAATACCCAGAAAGTACATAGGGAGTACTCCTAACTCGATAAAATCATAGAATAGATACGCAGAATGAATTTACTGGAGAGATGGGGTCACCAAGCTCTTTCTTTTCAGCCCCTCAATTTCCATACTTGTTCCTAGAAGCATCAGTTCATCTAAAACAACAAAAACTGCTTGTAAGTAAAACTAAGAGGTATGCCATAATCCAAATTTATCATATTTTACCATCATCTGAAAAATCATCTACTTTCTCTGTGACTCAGTTTAATTAACTATAAAATAAAAATGATTACATTGAGTATGTCTTATCTCCTGGGAGAATAAATCCCATATGATATATAGAGAAGAAAGGTGTCTGTCCAAACATGACTTCAAATTGTAATTATATTTTAGAATAAACATTACATTTACCTATTTCAAAAGATATCATGCACAATCTTATCTAAATACTCACATAAGTAAAACCAATTTTTGATAATATTGCTCCTTATAACCTCAGTAAATCTATTCTCAGAGACTGTATTTTTAAAAATGTTATTCATTTATTTGAGAGAGAGAGAGAGGGAGCCTAAGTGGGGGGAGGAGCAGAGGGAGAGGGACAAGGAGACTCTGCACTGAGCGCAGGCCCCTGAGATCATAACCTGAGCCAAAACCAAGAGTCAGATGCTTAACCAGCTGGGCCACCCAGGTGCCCCTCTGAAACTGTACTTCCAAAGATGTGCTCCTTATTATACTGCACAGGAAGCCAAGAAATCTGAGGTCTTGCATTATCTCTGGGTATTGGTAAGTTGTGAAGTTGTGTGGTCTTAGGCAAGTTACCATCACGACCTGGGTTTCAGTTTATTCATCCATAAAAGATCTCTTCCCCTCCTCCTCCTTCTTCTTTTCTCTCTCTCTCTCTCTCTCTCTCTGTCTCTCGGTCTCTGTCTTCCCCCCTTCCCCCATCTGCAAATCCCAAATACTTAATAATGCTCCAAGGGACTTCAGACCCTGAAATAAAAACTCTGAAAGCTTCCAGACAGAGAACGGTCCCTACTATTTTACTAACATTTTGTATGTCTCCTTCACTGGTTTATAAGCCATTCAAAAGCAAGCACTATGCTTTATTTTTATACATCTGTGTACATCCTCCTACAAACACAGTATCCAATACAAAGTGGAGGTTTGATTAATGCTTATTGAATCAAGTTGTTGAACTCAGTTACTGAAGCGCAAGCTCTCTACTAAATGCCTTTCCCACAAAATGTTCTGAAGGCTTACAGTTCAGGGGAGTACGGGGCTCCGTCAGTCCACAGCCAGGCTTTGCCACTGCCGTTGCGAGAGAGCCCTGTCCAATAAGAGTAGAAAAACTCAGAGTAGCTCTGAGGCATGGCAAACTCCTGTGAAAGGCACACAAGAAGACCTTTAGCTTTAGACATGTTATACTATGTATACGCAGAGATGTGTAGGACCAGCCAGCACTTTTAATATGAGAACTGCACACGAGTCCTGCCCCACATAGGTGATAGTACACTTGAGGGAAAAAGCGTCCGAGCTGAAGTCAGTCCAAGTTAAAGAATTTATCTTGTCTTAATAAGTTTGAATATATACGGATATTCTAAAACCATGAATCACATCAACCAAGATTAAGATTTATAAATGACCCATTATTTTCAAGTCACAGAGTAAACACTAAGATTTAGATAAGAAAAATATGGGGGGCGGATTTACAAGGAGATGTGGGGTGATTGCAAAATGGAAGAATAGGGGAAGAAAAGTGTAAAAATGGGGAAAGTAATCTTTATAAATACATGCAAAGGGACTGACAGGAAGGAGAAGAGAATAATGAATATACTTTTTTTTAAGATTTTATTTATTTATTTATTTGAGAGAGAGAGAGAGAGAAACAGCATGAGAGGGGAGAGGGTCAGAGGGAGAATCAGGGTCCCTACTGAGCCGGGAGTCCAATGTGGGACTCAATCCCAGGACTCCAGGATCATGACCTGAGCCGAAGGCAGTCGCTTAACCAACTGAGCCACCCAGGCGCCCCAAGAATAATGAATATACTTTAATGCAAAAAGAGGTAAGAGAAAATTTGGAAGGATGATTTATGTCTCAGACAAGGAAGGGGAGAAAGGGAAATTTTTCATATATGTGTGTGTGTGTATTTATATTTTTGTATAGTATTTATATATATACACATATATAATTCCTTCTCTAATATCTATATTGAATTTTTTAAGATTTTATTTATTCATTTATTTATTTATTTATTTGAGGTGGGGGGAGGAGCAGAGGGAGAGGGACTCCATTCTGAGCGTGGAGCCCGACTTGGGGCTTGATCTCATGACCCTGATATCATGACCTGAGCTGAAATCAAGAGTGAGACACTTAACTGACTGAGGGACCCAGGCGCCCCTCTATATTAAATTTTTTAGTTACCTACTTCCTTCTATCCAGTCTTATTCTTTAACATAAATTATTTAAATTTATTATAATTATCAATTTTTATGTCCTTCCTTTCCACCATACTATGAGTTCCTTAAGGATACATACTTTGTTTTATGTCCTCAACCCTTCAGATAATTAATGCCATATGTTGATTCAATAAACGATTACTGGAAATAGATATGAAACTATCACTAAGCAATAGTCATCTAGTAGGCATATCAAAGGAAGTGTAGTTGAAAATACTTCCAATTTATGGTAGACACCTCAAATTAAAAGTTCTAAAAATAAGTCATATGAAAACGACTTAAATATGTACAATTCTTTGAAGTGCATGAGACAAAATCACTATACAACTTTCACAATATTTCCTACCATTATATATAATACAATTCAATTATAATATACCTGAATCCTCAGTATGTGCTAGAGGTGGAGGAAACAAAGAGTACAAGAAAAATCAGGTGGGCATAATTATGGTAGGACACATTGTCTCAGTCAAATAAATTACCTCCCTTTCTGCTTAAATTGAGCCATTGAGAAAGGATAAAAAATACTATTTTAGTAGATGAGAGACACTTCAGAGTTGCATTCATCACAGATTTCAGAAAAGTGGGTAGGAATTAAGATGTAACTAGAAGGATGTTAAGAGTTTGCATAGTGAGCTGGGCATTTATTTCAGTTAAATAATCCTTTGTTGATAAAACTACTCTGTGCCAAGACTTCTGCTAAAACAAGGATAAATAATGGTCACACTGCCTAAGGCTTTAAATCCAAAGGCAATAATAAATGTTTTTTAAAAGGGTGAGAACAATTACACAATTTTAAGTTTATCTTAACTGCATATACTTAATATATGTCAATTTATAATTTTACTTTCATATTTGCCTTGACTAATCTATGTTAGGTTATAAACTTCTGGAGGACAAGATATTTATCTGCAGGTTATAGTAATGATTTAATTAAATATTTTTCAATTAAAAGCTTTGTCCTTTTATAACGGAAGAACAGGAAATGCTATTTTCATCTTTCTAACCTTGCCTCAATATTGTGCCTTTCCTGCCCAAACCAAAAGCGGTAAGAAATTAAGGGATTTTTTATTTGATTCCTGACTGGTGGGGATTTTGAAGAGCTTCCTCTAGTGGTTTTTTGTTTGTTTGTTTGTTTTTGTGGAGAGCAGAACAGCTTTTACATACTCAGGGAATCACTCAAAACAATAGGAGTAAGACCTTGATTACACTAAGTGCAAAAGTCTGGGCACATTGACTCCTTAGGCTCTTCTTGTATAGCTCTTTTAAGGACCTCTTTTTCGAGAATAATTCAAACAGGAATCTTACCAGCACTTCTTGTGTGTTTATCTTCAGCATGGTCGCGTTCTCAGCGATGCAGAAATAGTCACAGCCCTGCCAATTCTTGCTCTCTCTACAGAATCGGTAGCATTTGTCCCCATGCCACTTCCATTCTTCTGGACAAGGACTGCATCTGTGTTCTTGGAAAGAAACCAATTTTAATGCTATTTTCTATCCAGATCTGCCATCTTTCTGCCCCTGAAATTACATAGTACTTGATGATTCAAGTACTCTTATTATTTAGAGTACTTTCTTTCAGATATTTAATTGCCCAGAAATGATAACTACAAATGTTTACCAAACACTCACTATATGCCAGAAATTGTAATTGGTACTGAGTATACAGTAAAAATTAAAACAGACACTACCTGCTTTCATGGAGTTTGGAATCTAACAATAAATGATTAGAACTTCCTTGCTTCTTGCCCTATATAATTCAGCACACAGAGGATATTCAATTTCATAAAGAACTTTTCATATGTTCAAAAACTCATTATGCCTTGTATTTAAGAAAGAACTGAAACTTCCACAATTTTTTCCTCAAAATCTTCTTATGTAATTATAAAAGGATTTTTTTAATGCAATATACACCAATAAGATATGGACTCTTTTCTTACTCTAAACACAAGTAAATAAAATTTTAGAAAAAAAAAGACAAATATACTACGCAAGGTATGATTTAGAATGGTAAATCTCCATGTGTCAGAAATCAAGATGGGCACCAAAGTCAGAGAAGTGCGTGCAGAAGTCAAGGATGAGATGGACTAATAGGCAGAGGTTTTAAGTATAGGAACTAGTCCCTGAGAACCGCGGTTTTAACACCGATGAGGATACATGGCCTTGCGCCTTTGAGAGTTCTGACTTGTAATCAAGTCCCTGATGGTGGGATGGGAACTCAATCATTCCATAAAAACGTCTTTATTTTAAGAACAATCCAGTGTCAAAATGTTAACATGTTAAAATTTGAATGGTCAGTATGCACTTGAATATTATGTTATTGTTTGCATTTTTGTATATTTGAAATCTTCCTTAAGGTAAAATAGTTTTAAATAAATAAATAATTGAGAGATTCCTTTGTGAGTCAGTTCATATTTCCAGCCCAGGCCTTATACCAAACTACTTACTCAGATCTCCACTTCAACATGCCCAAAACAGCATCCCTAACCTTTCCCACTCCTAACCACAGAATTCTTCCCGTTTCACTTGATCACATCTCTTGTAATTGCTTTGCCCCCAAACTCTGGAAGTATCCTTGACTCCTTTATTTCTCTCATGTCCCCTTATATTCCATCATGAATTCATCTCCTCTAATAATATCCTAGTTTGAGGCAACATCATCTCTCTCCTGGATTACTGCAAAAACCATCTCTTAGGTGATTTCTATGTTTTTATTTTTCCTCCTTCCAGTGTATTTTCAACATATTTGCAGAGTGAGCCTTTAAATGCTCATGTCAGATCTATATTTCCTCTGCTCAAGATCCTGTAATGAATCCTTATTTTGCTCAAAATAGAAGCCAAATCCCTAATAACTTCACCTAACGCCATATATAATCACTACCACATCTCCTACCAGTCCTCTCCTCCTTCACTCTGCTCCAGACGCACAGACCCCTGATTGTTCCCTGAACATGCAGCTCCATTCATTTCAGGGCTCCTGCACTTCCTGTTTTCTCTACCTGGCTTCTGCTTTCTTCATATATCTACATGGCTAATTCCCCTAAGTCTTCAAATCTTTGCTCCTATACCCTCGTCTTAATTAGGAATTAAGTATTAATTAATTAATTGTATCCCTACATAAATTAGTAACCCACCATCCCTGAATCCCTGATGCCTCATACCATATCTACTTTATTTTCCATAGTATTGATTACCTTCTTACATACTATGTTTAGTTTGACCAACCATTCTTGCATGTCTGAAATCTAGGCTTTCCCAAAATGTAGGACTTTTAATACTAAAACTGGAAAAGTTTTGAGCAAACTGGGACACGTTGATCATCTTATTTTACTTTTTTTAATTGATTTATTACCACCACCCCAATCGAGTAAGAGGTCTATGAGGGGAGAAATCTGTGTATGCTTTGCATGGCATGCATCAGTAAATCTTACCTTGTGTGCAAGAGTAGATGGATGGATGGATAATGGGAAAGAAATGGAGAACAGCAGGATAACACTGAGAACTAACATCAAACCAAAGGTATATGAACATTTTCATGGGAATAGGGATATCATTAATACATTTGCATGTTCGATTTTATATTTAAACAAAATATAGTTTATTTGTATATACTGCTTTCTTTTTGTCTTTATACAGCTAGATGTAAATTCCAGAGACCACTGGTTTCAGAGAAACCTGGATTATCTTTTGATGACATGGCACCCAACAAAGGAAACAATATACAGTGGGTTGTCGGAAACACAAGAAGAAAAACAAAACTATATGAAGTGGTAGATGTATTAATTATCTTGGCCTTGATAATCATTGTATAGTGTATAGGTATATCAAATCATCACATTGTACACTTTAAATATATACAACTCCATGTGTCAACTATTCCTCACTAAAGTTAAAAAAGAAAAAAAAGAAAAGAAAGAAAACTGTGACCAGTGAGATCATTAATCATGTGGGGAAGAATCACTTAGAGAAGTGGAAATGTGCCTGTGGGTGTTATTTTACTGGGTAACCACGCAATCTGGCCTTCTGGTTAGTGTGGGAAGAGGAAGATTCATCCTAATTTCAAGTCCCTGAAAGACAAATAAAAAGTGACCACTTAGAATGTATGTTGCTTCCTATGCATGCAAGATAAGCAGAATAGAAGAGAAGGCTAACATGAATAGAGTTAGACACTACGAAACCCAAAAAAAGACAGGAGTAAAAGGCACAGGAATGAGGTAATTCTTCTAGTCTTGTCCAGAGGTGGTTATCAAAGCATGGTTCATCTCCCACTGGCATTGTCATCATTATTCAAACGTCAATTTATGCTACCCAATGAGGCACAGTGGATTTAAATACCTGAAATTTGATTCCATTCATCAGCATTTTTAACCTGATCCCATATGACTCTTAAAATGTGAGAACTTTCATGAGCTCATTAACTTCTTAAGGGGAGAAAAAATTATGAACGCATTATGAAATGTATACTACTGTTAGGTCTTTGTGTACCTAGGTAAATTGAGAAATAACCCTGCGTTTTATTTATTTGCAGTGTTATTTTGGTTATTTGAAGTTAATTGTTTTTTTTTGTTTAAAATGTCTGAATTTGAAGAATCCGTTTATGTATTACAACACAGACCTATCTGAACTAAATGAGCCCAATAACTGGGGATTGACCTGGGTGCCCAAATTCTTCATGAAGTTTGCCTGACAACTAACTAAATAACTTGTAACTCCCAGGCATACGGATGGGAAAGTCAGTTCTATAATAACAGCTAGCCTGAGGGCAGAGGGAGCTTAGTGATCGGGACTCACCTCCACTTTTGTTATAAAGCTCTCGACACAGTTTTTCAGCCACGCGCTGTAGGATTTCTGCAAGCTTCCTGTTCTTGGTTTGGAGAGACTGCAGCTGTCGGGAGAGATTCCCCAATCTTTCTTCCTTGTGAGAAATGCTGTCTTGCTGAGTATTGGAAAGCTGATAGAACTGAAAAACTAACCCAAGTTACCAAGTCAGACTGGACAGCTGATTTCTTCATTTCTATTTCTACTTTTTACATATGGGGGAAGACAAAACATTGTATTGTTTAAGATCTCATGCTCTGAGATTTCATTTTGCCTGTGTTCAAATTTGAACTGAAGCACATGATAAATTGCATTGTCTTGGGCAAATTAATGTCTCTAAGTCTGTTTTTTTTATCTGAAAATGTAGAATCATAGTAACAGTTTCTAACTTCAGGACTAAATTCCTTAACCATATTTACTGCTCAATAAATATTTTGTGTCTACTCTTAAACCACTGCTTAATAAAACTACAAATCCATTTATCTATTGATTATTATATTGAGCATTGACAGTGTACCATATATTGTTATCTAGTTCATTCATTAAAATAGTCATATTATCATTTCCATAGTTTTATACTTCCAAATTGGGCTCAGTGAGAACAATTGGGCTCAGTGAGAACAAGCAATTTCCTTAGTATCCCTTGGCTAGAAAATTTCAACACTTAGGTTTAAGCTCCAGATTTCTAAATCTAAGTAGAGAAATCCTTCATGAATCATGAAAGTTGATTTATATCCCTAAAAAGAATGGTGGTTGTGAAACAAATTATATCAAAATGAGTAAAAATTGGGGGGCCATGGTAGAAACACTAAGAAACATTTTTTTAATTTTAAAAAAGTTACAATAACAAAGGACAGTTCTAACATGTCTTAGAAAAACCAAATGTTTGACCTGCTCTTCAGGGTAACCTTTTACCTTGAGCTACCTTCTTCAACTGCTCAGGAAACATTACTGTAGGGTCTCAATCTCATGAAGCAAATTCACCACTTCCTTTTTTTTTTTTTTTTTTTTTACTTTTTGAACTTGTCTTTACTGGTTTTGAAATTTAAAGACCTTTTCCACATGCATGCATTTTTCCTTGTTTGGTTTTCACAAGGTTTTGCGAAATGATTCTATAATTTCCTGGACTTTTTGAAAAATACTGTAGAAATTAAGGACCTATTCTGCTTTCCTTATATTGAGGGAGTAGATACAAATGAAATCTCTTCTCTCTGTATTAGCTACTGAGCTATGCATACTAAGAGCAAAAACCACAGCCTGTACTCTTGTAGAATGAAAGAGAGCTAAATCATGCATTCATTCAAAACTGCTGATTTTAGGGGCTCAGTTGGTTCAGCATCTGACTCTTGATTTCGGCTCAGGTCATGATCCTAGGAACTTCAAGTGAAGACCCTAGTGCAGCTCTGTGCTCCGTGTGGAGTCTGCTTAAGATTCTCTCTCCCCGGGCGCCTGGGTGGCTCAGTTGGTTAAGCAACTGCCTTCGGCTCAGGTTATGATCCTGGAGTCCCGGGATCGAGTCCCGCATCGGGCTCCCTGTTCGGGGAGGGGTCTGCTTCTCCCTCTAACCCTCCCCACTCACATGTACTCTCTCTCTCTCTCTCATTCTCACTCTCTCAAAATGGATGGATAAATCTTTAAAAAAAAAAAAGATTCTCTCTCCCCCACTCCCTCTGCCCCTCCCCCTCCACAGAGCCTTTCCCGTGCCCCAGCCCCCCAAAATTGCTGATTTTAAATATTGACATGTAAACAGATAAAACCTGCTTATCTCAAACAGAATGTAAAAGCCTAGCTGGCAAGTGATTGCTGTATTTTAATGCTTCCTTCACTGCTCGTCATTTCAATGAGTGCTTTAGAATAAGGTATATTGAATTATCCATGGGCTCCAGAATTAAAGTAAAAAAACCCCAAAACATAAGTATTTCTCATCCTAGACAAACCTTAGAACCAGGATCCTCCCCCAAGTCAGAGCGCAGACTTACACACAAGCCCCAGGGCTAACAGGCCAATCAGCAGCACCAAACACAAAGTCAGCAGGGTCAGGGCCACTGGACGCCAAACTGAAGAGGGAGGCCGGCGCTCTGCAGGGAACAAAGAGGAAAAGGCAGGATTTCGCTTTCTCTTTCTCTTGGATCCATTCCACCAGCAAGTCAGAAGAGCTGGTTCTGGGAAAGAACAACAGTAAGCAGGGGCTAGATAACACTCCCTCTGTCCTCAGAACACTGTCAAAAGCTTCAGGGCCAAGCCTCCCTTCCACAGCGGGATTCCCTCACACGCCCCGCCCATTTCCATAGCCCCAACACCACCGGCAGTTCTACCGAATCAAGTTACGCATTGCCCTTATCTTTAAAAGGTTGTTTGCGTAACCTTCTTTGTGTCAAAATTCGAGTTATGAAAGACATAGAAATGCCTGAACGGGGAACCGTTTTTCATATCATCAGAGAAGAGATGAAATTAATTTGTTGTTACTTTTGCAAAACGCCTCCCCACAGAGTTCCATATGTGCTTCTTCTGAAAAGAAAATTGCATATCAGTAATGAGAAATGATCATTTGACTGTTTCCTTTTTGGGATTGCTTTGTTGAAAGTCCCTCTTTTATAAGGACTTTGTTCATTCATTTGATTTCTATCTCGGCAAAAATGGATTATAAAGAGACATGGTCATCAATTTCTTGAGGATGGATCTAAGCTGTCTCAATTTTGAACAGTTAAGTAATAAATGCCACGCCCCCACGAGTTTGCTTTCTGCTAATTGCAGAGGCTCTACCCAGTCAACAGTGAACCCATCATCACCTAGTGGGACTGTTAATCTAAATGACCTGTGATATCAGACAAGGAAGACCCTCCCACTCCCATCCCCTCAGGTCACTTAGCATCTAGCATTGTGATTAAAATGAAACAAAGGGAGAGCAACACCCTCAAAGAAACTTTGGTGTCTCCAAGACCTGTGTTTCATTTCATTGGGAAATGAAGTCATGTTCTTTTTTTAAATTTTTTTTTCCTAAATTTTATTTATTTATTTGACAGAGAGAGCGCACAAGCAGGGGGAGGGGCAGAGGAACAGGGAGGAAGCAGACTCCCTGCTGAGCAGGGAGCCTGATATGGGAGTTGATCCCAGGACCTGGAGATCATGACCTGAGGCAAAGGCCAACGCTTAATGGACTGAGCCACCCAGGCATCCCTTGAAGTCGTGTTCCAATACAAAAAGATTGAAGACATATAAATTCATTTCCTCTTTAGCAAAGTCCTTTATGTAATGTGGTCTAGGTATAGAAGTTTCTGTTACACATTATTTCCAAATGGGGAATGGTAAGTGGGAAAGATAAAAATGGAAAATGCGATTACTATCCTTTGGAATTTACAATCTAGTAGGAAAAATCATGGAGCAGACATTGAGATTGATACGTTTTAAAAAGTGAGTCTTACTTTCGCTTAATAATTATCTCCGTTAAAAACTTTCAATGGATTGCATTACAGTTGGAATAAAATCCAAATCACTCTTTGTGAAGATTCAGATTTCTCTTTTTAACAGAATTTGAAATTTGAAGTTACGTTATTTCCCAACTTAAAAACTTCCAATTACTTTTTTGCACTTAAAATTACAAGTCTTTTTCTTCTGGACCCGACCTACTTCTTTCATCCTTTTCTGAACTACTCTCCCCTCACTCAAGTGTTCTACCCACTGGCCTCTGTTTATCCTTAAAACAAACAAATTTGTCCCAGTCCTTGTACATTTGAGTGAGCTCTCCTCTGCCCTGCATTAATCAATCCTCAGAGCACGTGTTGGTAGGCTACTCCCCGCTACTCAGCTTTCCATTTAAAGGTGCATCCTTGGAAGAGCTCCATGAGTTCATTTCTAATACATAACCCCTTTACATAAGTTTTTTAAAAATAAGATTATTAATATGTTCATGGCTTTGATGTGTTTGTTTTCATTTATATCCTCCCTCCCATTGAAGGTACATTCCATGAAAACAGTGATATTGTCTGTCTTGCTCACCAGTATATTTCCAAGACTGAAAGTAGTGCCTGGCACATAAAGGCTGAATACATATTTGAATGAGTAAATGAATGAAGAATGAAATTGTGAAAACTTAATATGACTTAAACTATGTAATTTTTACAGTGGCAAGGAGGATTATCTAAAGTTAAACTTTGTTGAATTTTTTAAAATCTATTGACCTTTCAGCAGTATTTCTGACAGCAGAAGGTGGACTCAGCTAAATTTATCTTCTAGACATACTAGTCTCTATTCACTGACTCGTGTGAGATCCAGAGAGATTTGCTTTCTCCCCTATTTCCTTCAATTAGCTTGCCTATGTAGTTTGGTCTAAATTTTCCTGGAGATTGTTGGCCTCTCAAGGCATTGACCTAAAGAATATCTCAAATCAGCAGAACATAAAAGAAGAAGATCAGAGGGCAGAATACAGTTTAAGCTAAATGTCCTCTCCAAACCCTAAGTCTCTTGAAAGTTCTGTGCAGCCCAAGAAACTTGAGTAGGTGGATGGTTCTAGATTTCAGAAGTACAAGTGCATATGTGGACTCACCACCATGATGGCTTTATTTTTCTCCATATATCTTATTACTATCAAATATATTATATATCTTACTCATTTCTTCTGGTTTATAGCTGTAGAAAGTAAGCTCCTTTTGAAGAAGGTTATTATAGTCTATTTAGTCACTAGAAGAACATCAATTCTAGCACCTAGAACATCAGATGGAAGAAGCTCAATTAACGTTGAATGAATGTATCAACTATATATAAATATCTGTTATATGCCTATCTACCCCTGCTCAAACCTATTTATATTAGTACACATCTGAAAGGCATAAACTATTTTTTTGTTTTTTATTTATTTATTTGAGAGACAGAGAGCAAGCAAGAGCAGGTGGGGCAGAGGGAGAGGGAAAGAGAGAATCTTGAGCTGACTCTATGCTGAGCACAGCTGGATGCGGGGCTGGATCTCAAGACCCTGAGATCATGACCTGAGCTGACACCAAGAATCAGTCACTTAATCTACTGAGCCACCCCAGCACTCCAGGCATAAACGTTGTTTTAAATGTTGTTCCTTATTGTAATTGATATTTCCCTGGCCAAATATTATAAATAATAAGAAGGTAAAAGAACAACCATGGAAATCAACCAAATTATCCCTTAAGACAACTGCTTTTCCTTGTATAACACAGGGGCAACAGAAATGCTGATCTTCTGCTCAAAGGATCAAAAAGAATAATCTTAAATCCTTACCGTGGAATGAGGGCATGGACTTAAGGAATTAGAATGTTATTTAATAATAATTATATCCATGTAAACAGATCATCCTTCCTAAGGTTGTCTCTAGGACAGAAGATGCAAAAAGTATATGATATCTTCTGCTAAGGAACAAAGTTTTAAAAATTCCCTTCCAATGAATCATCTTTCCCTGGCCATTTGGAAATTTTTCTACTCTGACTCTCTTCTCTCTCTCTCTCCTTCTCTCCCTTCTTCCTCCTTCCCTTTCTACCTTCCTGCCTTCCTTTCTCAATATTCACAATCTTTTTGTTTTATCTCAGGACCCAGAAAAACACAACCCTAAGGAGTTTCTACAGCAGATATGGCAATTTCCTAGGAACCTTGGCTTCCATGATGGAAAGACCATGGAGCTGAAAGTTTCATTTTTTTTTTTTTACTGTAAAGAACAAACTGAGGGTTGTTAGAGGAGAGGAGAATGGGGGGATGGTCTAGGTAGGTGATGGAGATTAAGGAGGGCACTTGTGATGAGCACTGGTTGGTGTATGAAAGTCATGAATCACTAAATTCTATACCTGAAACAAAAAGAAAAAGAGAAAAAGTGAAACTTTCTTTTTGATGCTGTTTTTCCCTCTATTTTCCTAACTGTAGGTTCAATATCCCTAAATTTTATTCCAGGTGCCTTGATCATAATGAAGTCTCTCTCTAGGGACCACCCACACCCTAAAGTAAGAAAAATAAGCTGCCTGGGAGGTGCTTCAGTTTGGCTTGGCTTTATTGTGGTTTTATTTTTTGGAAGAGAACCCCTATTCTGTCTCCTGAGGCATGTTTAGAAAAAGGTGTGGACAGGGCAAGGAATGATATAAACATCCTTAGGAATAAGAAGATATATATAGAAAAAAAACAGTGCTTTCCTGTATCCTTTTACTGTAACTATACTATAAAAGGCTACAGTGCTAAGGCCAAGTTTTGAACACAAATTCCTTTGTAGGTATAAGAAACTTTGTAGATGAAGAGTTGTCATACTTGACCAGTTACTCTTCATCAGGCATCAGAGAGGGGAAATTTTATACACTTCCATTCCCAGAGCCAAGGAGAAATGAAACATATATTACCAGATGTAATCTATTAGTATGACTCTGAAATAGCATAATAAAAGCTGGAAAAGACACAAAGGCTTTATTTCTTTTTAAGATTTTTTTTTTTTATTTGAGGGAGATCGAGAGAGAGGGAGAGAGAGAGAGAGAGATATCAAGAGCCTGAGCAGGGGGGAGGGGGAGAGGGAGAGAGAGAAGCAGACTCCCCGCTGAGCAAGGAACCCACTGCAGGACTCCATCCCAGGATCTCAGGATCATGACCTGAGCCACCCAGGTGCCCTGGAAAAGACAAAGAAACTTTAGATAATTTGTACAAAGCCACATTGCAAAATAGGGGCAGAGCCAGGATTAAATTGTCCTGCTTAACACTTTGTATACTTCTTCTTGACCAGGACTCAAGACAATTGGGGACTAAACTGGTGACAAAGTACGTAATATTTCAGAAATTACTTTTAATATTTTTTAATCATGAGACATTGCTGATTGGATATCTGACTTTTGGATATATTTTTAAATTTTAAATGTCTTTTCAGCAATTTCCTGTTGTTTCCTTAATCCTCACATATGGCACATAATAAATCTCCTCATGGGAGAATATTCAACATTCCATGAGTTGAGAGTATTTTTCAGTGTTTGTGAAAATGCAGGTTTTCTTTATCTTATGAGTCTATTTCAAATATGTGATCTTTTCATTCTCTCTAAAAGTAAATGGGTGTTATTCTTCCTATAATTTCAAAGGAATATACATCCACAAT